GTGAAATTGTTGCTGGAGAAGACAGAAAAAAATATTTATCAAAACTAAAATAAATGAAAATAATTTTACCAAAAGAAAAAAATCGAAAAAAAAATTGAAAAGAGGCGTTTAAAATAAAGTCAACTAATTTAAAGAAAAACCTAAAAAATAAAATGAAAAAAAATTAAAAAATAAACATTAAAATTTTTTTTTACATATAAAAAAATGTAAAAATAATATAAAAATATATAAAAAAATGTAAAAATAATATGAAAAATATAAAAAAATGTAAATATAATATAAAAATATATAAAAAAATGTAAAAATAATAAAAAAATATATAAAAAAATGTAAATATAATATAAAAAAACTAAAACATAAATTACATAAAAAATATCAATTATATATTATAGAAAAAAAAAAATTAAATATATGGAAATTTAATCATACAGTTAATAATGAATCAAGAAAAATTTTATAAAAAAATAGTTCCTTAAATAGTTATTAAAAAAATTATAAAAAAACATAAAATAAATTTTATAAAATAAAATCAATCACTGGAAAATTATAAAGCCTAAACCAAATTGAATTTTATAGCTTGAAAATATTATAAGAAATAATGTATTAAATTTAATAACTAAAGAATAATTCTAAAAAAATTAAAGTAAATAATAATAAATTGTACTAAAAAAATTTACTTAAAAAAAATAATTACAAATTTCTAAAACAAAGTCCAAAAGTTAAATAAATTCATAAACTGAATCATAAATTCAAAAAAATACAAAATTCAAAAAAAAGTTATAAAAAAATTAAAAAAAATAAATATAATGGAATAATACAAATAATTTAAATAATAAATTTATATACAAAAATTTATTTACTAAAAAACCGTAAAAAATATTTAAAGAAATACCAAAAAATAAATTAAAGAAAAAATATTAAGGAAACGTTTGCAAAAAATGGCGGACTAAGCAATATTTTAAAGCTAAATTATAAAAATAGATAAAACATCAATAAACTGATATTAATTGAAATTAATTATTAAAAGAAAACAAAATACTATACAAAATCTAAAGTAAACTAAGTGTAATACTTAAAAGCAATTGTAAAATTATTAAACAAAAATTAAAAGCATTAGAAAATTAAAATTAAGAAGAAGAAATTTAAGAACCTAAACAAAACAATAAAAAAAGAAAGAAAAACATAAAAAATTAACTTAAATAAATTAAATTTAATAACCCAGCATTGCTTTAAAATTATCAAAAAAATACATAAAAATTTAATAACCAAAAGTATTAACTATAAACAATTTAATAATAGTAACAAAGCAATAAAAAAAAACAAAAAAAGATATAATTATGAATTAAACTAAATTTTAAAACTAAAAAAATTGGCCAAAATAATTTACGCAAAACTAAAACTTAGTAATTAAATTTAATAAAAAAATTTTATGAAAATACTAATAAACGAAATTAGGCAAAAATATTATAAAAAGTTGTAGACAAATTATATTTCTATTAGAGAATAAAATTTATTTGCAATAAATCATTTAAAATTATTATTTTCCCTCTCCGAATGGACGATGAATTTTTATAAACAACTTTTCACTGTTGTGAGGCGATAGCTGTTGGAAGAATCAATCTTTTTAATATAAATTTTTCATAATTTAGAATTTCGCCAATTACTCGGCGGCTGTGGCATGTATAAAAAATTTAAGAAACAAATAAATGTGAATGTTTTCCTTTTTGTCATATATAAATTTTAGCACTTTAATTTACATTGAAATATGTAATTTATGTTTCGTACGATTTTCTACAAAACTTTCAAATTATTATTACTTTTCAATGTAATTTCAATACTATTTTCATAAGTAAACACTTTTATTTAATATATCTTAGCCGTATTATATGCGGCAGTTTTATATTGCATACTTTTCTGCGCATTTTCTATTGCATTACTATTTTTTCTAATAATATTTGTTGCATTTAATTGCACTTTTTTACTTTTTCTCCCACTTTTTTACATTTTCCACACTTTTTTTTCAATCCCAAAATTTTATTATACATTTTAATTTTTTATTTTATTTATTTTTTCTATTTATTTATTCTTTTTTTTAATTTTTTATTTATTAATTTTTGATTAAAACTTTTTTACATTTTTATTCATCTTTCTTTTATTTTTTATATTTACATTCATCTTTTTTTATTATTTTTTTGTAATATTTTTTATTTACGAATTTTTTTTATTTCTCCCCTTTTTTCATATTTTCTACAATTTGTTTTTTTCAGAAATTTACAATTTTTTTTTTACCAAAAACCGCTTGCTATCACTCAACCTGCACGTCTTTTAACCGACGTTCAAACACTTCAAAGGCCAAATTCGTAATACGCAACGCTGCTCCACTGCTTGCCAACTTTATTTAGTATGTATGCTGCTAATGGGCGCCACAACGCAACCTGTTCGATGTTGTATATTGGGGTCGCCGACGCTACAGTAGCAGCGCAGCTATTGTATAAAACGTCAATGAGCAGCAGCAACGGAAACAGGCAAATACAGCAAATGTACGGCAAATGATAGTCAGACTGAAAGTGTTGCCTACATTGAGGCGCTGCGGTTAGACAACGTTATTTCCGCGTATGAATGGAAAGTTAAAGGTTTGCAGGCAATAACTTGGATTAATGGTAAGTTTAAAATAAATGAATTTAACATAGTTGTGAATTAAGCATTCACTATGAATATTCTAAAAAAAAAAAAAAAAACTTTTTAAATTTTGAAAATTTTTATATCAAAAGTTTTCATGTGTATATATGTATGTGTTATATTATCAATCTTTGGCGGCATAATGTCATTGACTGTAGCGTCTAAATCAATTCTACTACCACTTGCACATGTACATGAATCACTTCTTTTTGCTTGGCTCAGCTTGTTTTTTTTTTTTTTTGTTTTTTTTTTTTTTGTATACTCGACATACAAACGAGTGCATGGCTGCTAGTGAAGACAATTGCAATCAATATCCTGACTGATATCCTTTTATGCATGGCTGCCGGCAAGTTGTGTGCTTTAGCAGCGTCTTCTACTGTGCAAAAGGGAATTGAAAAAAAAACAATAATAACAATACGCCACCCGCTCAGCCTACACTGCTGTCGCTTTATAGGTTAAGTATGCTGCTCTGCTGATATTCTTTTTTTAGTTTAATTTTTTTATGTTAATCTATCTTTATCTTTTTAGTGGAAATTAAGCGCATAAGTAAGAGCAGATAAATATGTATGTATTTTTAGTTTAGAAATTTAAGAACAATTCGGTTATTCTGCCGAAACTCAACTGAGATTCATTCGTAAGCTTGAAAGTTGAAACCGGATGTTTTGTTTCACATAAAATGATCGAGGGTTGCCATTCGTTTTGAAGTTATATTGTACAATACATATACAATATATATATAAAATATTTTAGAATACAATAAATATGCACTTAATTATTAAATTGAATCAATTCTGAAATATTAAAAAAAAATTGTTTAAGAGAGGTTGCCACCTGTTTGGAAATTTTTTATTTAAAAAAAATATCTCACAAGCTACGTATTATATTTTGATTGCTAATGCTAGGAATCTTAAAAAATCTTTATCGTGAACCTATTTTTAAACAAAGTTGCCAACTGTTACAGAATTTTTATAAGATTAAAAAAAGAGATAAATAAAATTTCATTATATTTGTATGATATACTGTACTATAGTTCTGTTATAGTTGTTAACAATTAAATTAGATGACTGCAGAAATTATTTGTAAGCAGAGTTGCCAACTGTTTCAACTACATCCAACTATTTCGAAGAATTTATAACATAAAGCAATATGCAACCGAACTAAAAAAGTTTTAATCAAATGATAATAATATTTTTGTGGTAGAGTTGCCACCTTTTCAAAGCTTAAATGTATTTAAATTAATAAATTAATGCAAATATTAGAGTATGTATACCAAGTTGAAGAGCATAATTTTTACATAATTTTTCAGTAGAGTTGCCATCTTTCGCAAAATTTAAATGCAGGCAAATTCATAGAATAAAGGAAATATTGCAATATGCATATTGTATTGAAAAAAAATTTTAATCCAAAACCAATTTTGAATATCGTGTTGATAAAACTTTCTTCAGTTGCGTCACACGTTTTTCCAAGTCTTTCGTCATTATTTTCAAAACTACGTTTAACCACCTGCTGTGCCATTTAATAACATTTAGTCTGTTGTGCGTATGTAAATTTTTTAATTGCGAGCTCACAGCGATTGGCAAAGTGTAATCCAAGCGAGCAGCAGGTGCGCCAGTTTCACCTGCTGCATTTACAATACTACACCCCCACCTAACACATTTCCATTCATTGTAATGGGTCTTTGTTTGCAAATTTACGCTTCACAACATTTTCATTTTTCCGCAATTTTGTCTCGCCACAATTGGAATTTTCTTTCTCACTGATACTGGAGCGTGATTAATGTGCTTCAAGTGCAATGCATACCCATTGGAGTTCTTAGACTGGTCGCATTATTGCCTCGACCCCGTTGGTCGAACGTCACAAGTTTATCGCTTCATTCATTGCTGCTTTCTACTTTCTATCTACTTTGGTGGCCGCCAACAGCATTGCCTCAACTCGAACACGGCCTGCCTACCCGGCTTCACACACTCCACCTCTCAACTGCACTTCAAACAGGAAAAGGAAGTGCACAACATAGCGCCGACTGAGTGTGTCCTCTGCATGAGTAAGTTGTATGAATTATACGGCTTGCTATGACCGGCAGCGTGAGAGAGTGCAGAGCATGTCTTTCCGCATGTTAAAGGGCGTTACGACAAATCAAATTGTGTGCAAGCTTTGGGTAGTGCGGCCTTTGGCCAAGTGGCACAGCCACCACTCCACTGTGGAAAGCTCAGTTTTGTTGGAGTTGGAATTTTATACTGCGTGGGCGAGTTTCTAGCGATTTTTAGAAACTTTGTAATACAAAATTTATTTTTAATATTTGAAATATTTGAAAAAATGTGCATTTTATTTAAATTATAAAATATTTACATTCCCAAGCTTCATACATATCTACATATTTACAAATAAACGGAGTGTTCTCTAGTCGAATTCCAAAGTTCGCAGGCTCTCACAAACCTGCTCCGTTCCTTGATTGGTTTCTGTTGTTGCAGCTTTTACTTTCTTACTTTTATCAATCTTCCACGCATCGGGATTCATTAAATAGTCCCTGAAAAGATTTTATGCACTTTATTAATTAAAAAAAATCTCACAAACGCGCAATTACCTCTTCTCCGCCAGCAGTTTTACCCATTTTTCTTTCAACTCCGAAACACTACCAGCCTTGCCGCCATACTCAGCGGGCAGCATATCACGCGGAAAGTGTTTGTAGGGCGTGTCGGCGTTAGGCAGGTGAAAATGGATCTTTTTGTATAGAGAAATCAATATTGATTATTGAATATTAGCTCAAGTGGACACTTACCAGCTTAAAGACCTCACTCTTGATGAACGGCTTCACCACCGTCAGCACCTTGTCCAGATAAGACGGGCAATTGAGCACATGTATCGCCTTCAAACGCACTGGATGAGCCTCCTGCACGAATTTCATATACACACGCAACGAGCTGAAGACCGTTCGTGCCACGTGCCGTAAACTGTAGCCGGCCATATCGAAAATGGGCACCTCGCCGTCGCACATGCCCGCCTCATCGGGTATTACGAAACGCAAGTCGGCCATCATGAAGAAGACTTTAATGCTGGCGGTGAAATTGAACTAAAAGAAAATAAATAAATATTTACTAAACATATTTTTACAGTTACAAGTGATAAAATTAAATAGATTAAAATGAAATAAAAACAAAATAAAATAAAAACACATAAAATCAAAATAGAATAAAATAAAAAAAATTAATATAAAAACATACTACAAAATAAAATTAAAATAAAAGCAAAGTAAAACCAAAAAGTCAAATGAAATAAAAATAAATAAAATAAAGAAAAAATGTGCGACAAATAAAAATTAAAAATAATATGAAGAAATTAGAATGAAATAAATAAATAAAATAAAACAAAATAAATAATAAATTAAAAATTGTAAATAAAAAAGTAAAATAATGACTTAAAACAAAAAGGAACAAAAAAATTTAATAAAAAAATAAATTTAAAAGAAAAACTACATATGAATAAAAGAATAAATTAAATTAATTGAAATAAAATCATATAAAATAAAATCATATGAAATGAAAAATAGATTAAACAAAAAAATTAATTAAATAATTAAAATTGAATAAAAAAATTGAAATAAACAATAAAATAATAAAAAAATAAATTAAAGAAATAAAGAAAAAAAAACTAATTGAAATAAAAAAAGAAAAATAAAATAAAATAAAAAAATTAAATAATATTAAATTAAATAAAACCAAAATAAAAGGAGAAATAAGTTGAACTAAAAATAAATTAAAGTAAAAGATAATTAAATAAAATAAAGTTATAAATTATTTAAATTTAAATTAATTGAAATAAAAAACTATAATATTAAATTAAATAGAAGAAAAATGAACCAAAAATGAAAATAAATAACAACAAAAAAATAAACTATCTAAATTAGAATTGAAATAAAATAAAATAAAAAATTAAAGTAAACAAAACAAAAATGTATCAAAAATAAAATAAAAAGACTTAAATAAAATAAATACTTTATCTGAAATACAATAGTTAAATTAAATTATTGAAACAAAAATAAAAGGAGAAATAGCTAAAAAAATTAACTAACAATAATAAAGAAATAATTTAAATAAAACAAAAATGAAAGAAATTTAAAATTAGGAAAGAAAAAATGAATTAAAATAATCTAAAATTAAATAAATCAATAAAATAAAATAAAGCGAAATAAGATAAAATAAAAATAAAACAAAATTAGTTAAAAAATAAAATAAAAAAGTAATATGATAAAATAAAAAATAAAATAACTCAAATACAAGCAAGAAAAGTAAAAAATGTGAAAATTAAAAATAACATAAATTAAGTACAACAAAAGTGAATTATAAAAAATTAATTAAAAATATTTACACCAACTAAAATAAACTAAAAAATAAAAAACAAAAATTAAATAAAATTAAGTAAAATAAAACTGTGTAAAATTAAATAAAAATAATACATTTATTGAAAATAAGTAAAAGAAAATATGACAAATCAAATTAAATTAAATTAAACTAAAACTTGAGTAAACTAAATTAAATTAAATAAAAAAAAAATAATAATAAATAACACTAAAAGAGTTTTAGTAAAATAAAATCAAATTAAGTTAAATAATTAAAAATAATAATAATAAATAACAATTCATTTAAAGCACCTTATCCGCCTCATAATCAATCAGACGATACAACAACAGCTTATTTTTGTCCGGCGTTAGTCCAGGCAACGGCAACAAGTCACTTAATAAGTAAGTAATAAAAAAAAATACATAAATGAAAATTAAAAAAAAAAAACACATAAAATTATAAATTAAAAAATATTAAAACAGTAATTATATTTTTTTATTGCCCGCACACAAACCCTGCGCAATAACTGCTTTCACCGAAAAACTGCCTGCCGCGCATCAAAACCCCGTTACTGAACGTTACTTACGCGACTTGCAACAGCTGTTGTGACTCTTGGTCTGTGGGATCGCGTTGCAGAAATATGTGCGGATGCTTGTTGCGCAGCGCATAGTTGAGTTCAATCAAACGTTGGGCGGCCTCCACATCGCCGAACATCGAATAGATGAAACGTACGAGTACCGGCTTCTCTGTAAGCAAAAACACATAAATACATAAACAGACAGAAATGAAAAAATATGAAGAGTTAGTTGGAAAAGTGAGGAAAAGTGCTAGTGTGTAAGTGGCATATGTTATGAACTGGCTGTGCTAAAACAAAGTAATTAAATTGCTGGCAAAATCATAGAAACAACAAAATTTTCCACGCGTTCGTGTATGGACTATACTTTTCAAGTGCTTAAAGCGGCTTTCGTACACACATATGCTTGCATTTATTATATGTATGTACATGTATTCGCTTATATCACTGCCTCAAATATTTTAGTTAATTGGGTTGAAAGTGCAATAGAAATAAATGCAACAATCTTTAAGTACACTCTTATATGAAACCGGTTTAATTTTATTGGATTTTTGCGATTTTTTTACGATTTTTTGCAATAATACATATGTATGTACTTAGACTTGCAGTTACATACATATACAGATTAGTATGCCTGCATGTACATACAAGCACATATATTTATGCATTAGCACCTCTGCTGTTGCAATGTGCAATTTATCAAAAGTAACGCGCAACTCTTTCATATCTTGAGCAATCTTTACCTTAGTACAAATGCAAGCGCTACTGCATACATAAATACAGGGTGAGCCGATTGAGGGAGACCAAATTTGAACGCGGAAGGTTTTTTTTTACTTTCTGAAACATGTGACTATGATTTTTTCTTTGTAGGTTATAATCAAACAGCGGGCATTTTGTAATTGATATAATCGATAATCGATAACCGCAGTACAGAGTAACGCTTTAAATTTACTACGTTTATACTGGGTAAAGAGTGCTTCGTGTGTACTTTTTTTTTAAACAAACTCAATAATAATAAAATTTGCAAAATATTTACTGAACTTTCATTTGTTAAAAAAAATGCATTATTAAAAATATATATTACGAGCAGTCCGTGAAAGTCCATTGCCTGTTAAAGAGTAGAACTCTTATTAACTAACAATTTTTTATAGTTACCACCTCCGGTCTGGGCTATATGGTGGAGAGCCTTTTGCTGCCACTTTTTCGACTGAGAAAATGCTCATTCGGTATTTCCTCGTCAATGAGTACCTATGCTTTAAACCAATTTCCTTGAAGCTAAGCTTATTGCTGCCAACATTGGCATAAGAGAGAGCGTCCGCACACAGTGCTGGCCACACTGTGTTCTTTCGTAATGTTAATAGTAGTTCTTACTCAGCACACCCTGTATGTACATATGTAAGTATTTAGTAATGCCTGTAAGTACTGATGGAAAATATTGGCGATGCGCAAAACATCTCCAAGAGGCGGCTCTCTGTAATTATCACATCGTTTCTCTTACACGGACAAAACAAAAGTTTTTTTTTTACACTGTGCGCAATTGAGAAAACTTCTTTAGCCGTTAGTATACCTTTTAGATAATAAAATAATTGGTTGAACCCATAGTGCAAGACAGTGAAAGTGGCTATGATGAAGTGCAAGAAGAATAATTACCCAACTGAAAATCAATTAAGCGGCGGCAGGCGATAGTCTAGTCTACGAACCCCATAGTCTGCGCTAACTATCGTAGAATATATATAATTGACGCTTTGTAACCGCTTAAGTGATTTTCGGCCGATCTCCTCCTCCAATTTATGGTTTTGCGTCTTGATATTTTTCCAACAAATGGAGGGACCTGCAGTTCCGCCTCCGAACGGCTGAAATCCTAGTCCGACACCAGCGATTTGATCAGACCTTGACAGTGTGGCTACAGATCTGTTAGATAAACCATTAACGAAATATTTGCCTAGTAAGAACAAATCAAATATTGGAACGGGAGCTGTGAAGAAAGGTTCGACACATCATCCCTACGACGATTTTAATGCTGTGTCAGAATCGGGAAGGACCTTGCGAACAGTTCTTAGTATCGAAGGTCACGAGGTATCGAGGTTTCAGATGATGTCCAATTTTTGCGGTCTGCTAATGTTATCGACATCTTTGGTGTCCACCATCGTGATGTTAGATCTTCCTTCTACAGACTAGTTAGAGAAGCGAAGCTAATGAATCTGATAACCAACAAGAACGAGACCATTTGACTTCTGTCATCAAGCAAAGGCTGCAGTCAGATTCACTCTTTCCAACAGCTATTACTCTGGATTGAGTAGACAATTGAAAAGTAAGGTACTCTCTCTACCATCAAAGATCTAATTTTGCAAGGCGTTCATCATTCCCGTCCCGCTGACGAAACCCAACGAGTCCGCATCAGCAGTTATCGAGATATAGGTTTTATAAACCATTTCTGGGCCATCGCTTATTAGCAACGTGGCGGTTTGAGATATCCGGAGACTTAGATGTACGCAGTACAGCGTATTAAGAGGCTGCGACTGCTCTGATGGAGTCATGTTGTCGGGGGGGAAGTAGAGGAAGTAGAGGAAAATCTCCATATCTTTGGAAAAATTAGGTGAAGAAGGACCTGTCCACATTTGATATCTCCAAAAGCCGCTGAAAGGCGAAAAAAGCAAAACTTGTTGTTGTTTATACGGCTATAATCGGGTATACGAAGAAAAGGAAGCCGAACTTTTGGAGCTTGTGTGAAAGAAAAACGTTTCTTCTACCATAGAGCTCTTCAGCTCTTTGGCACAGGCATTTGTTTAAGCATATTTCTTTCAGTGTTGAATTTTTCGCTCTTTTAACTGGATTGCTAAATATTAATGTATGGGCTTTTTGTACCACTGGCATATAAAGTACTTACATACGTACGTAAATATGTATGTATTTATTTAGGTAGCATTTCGAAGATGCACCATCACTTGCTGATTCACAGAATTATTTGCATATTTTTCTTTGTCTCGTCGTATGTGTAATAAGTAAAAAACGAATTGTTAAAAAAAAATATTAATTTAAAAAAAAAAGTACTTAAGCCCATATAAAGATATTAAGTAATAAAGAGTTTTCGAAAACAGCTTTTTTCAGCTAAATATTCTTAATTTATTTATTTATTAACTCTTTTATATTTTTTATTTTAGTTATATATATTTTTTTTTTTACTTAAATTTAATATAATTGCACTTTTGAGTTTCCAATATGGCGATTTCGGTCATTATTTATTATTCCAGGTTTCGTATTTTTGGCTATTTTTAGAGTTTGAAAAAAGCATATTGTGATTCCCACATTATTTTGTGAAAAAAAAAGTTCTTAATTAAACAATAAACAATTGCATGCATTTTTGGCATTTGGCTCACAATATTTATTGTTGTTAACAGTTAATCGGTTGTCTATGGAAACTGGTCACTTGTCACTGGCCGCCATGCCGTAAATGGCTCACGCACATACACGTACATACATAAATGTGACTTTGAAATTAATTCCCTCAATCGAGATCGAAATATGTGTAAATGCATGTACTCGTATATATGTGTGTGTATGTATGTAGGTAAGTAAGCAAACCGAAAAAGCCTACTTAGTATGCCAGACAGCGATGCAGTATATGTATGAGTTGTATATATATTTGTGTATTATTGTAAATCGCAATTTGTAGACATTTCTACCCGCAAAATATTATAAAAATTATAAAATATACATGTATGTGTATTTGTACATAATTGAAGTGTTATTATAAACAAGAAACCTTGACGACAAGCGAATTTTTAATTATTCTAAGAAATGAAATCAAAACTTGTAATTGAAAAAAATAAAATAAAATAAAATAAAAAATAATAAAATTAATTAAATGCAATAGGAAATAATAAAATAAAATATTTACATAAAAAATTAAATACCAATAATAAATATATAGAAGAAATTAAAAAATCAAACAAAAATTGTGATATAAAAAAAAGACAATTAAACTAAAGAAATTTATTGAGTAAAAATTAAGTAATGTAATAAAATAAAATAAAATATTTAAGAGTCAGAAATTCAATACAATTCAATATGCAAGAGTAAGAAAATTAAAAAAAAATAAAAACAAAATAAAGAAGACAAAAAAATAAAATTAAGAAAAATGGGATAAAAAAAATTAAAATAAGTAAAACATAATTATATAAAATAAAATAAAAATTAAAGAAATAAATAAATTAAAATTAAGTACAAAAAACAATAAAATAATAAAAAAATAAATAAGTAAAATAGGAAAAAAAAAATAAATTAAAATTAAGTAAAAATAGTAAAAATAAAATAAAAACTAAAATTCAGTCAAATAAATAAAAATAATAGAAAATTAATTAAAATAAAAAGAAAGAAAGAAAATTAAATTGAATAGAGTTAAATAATAGAATGAAATAAATTAGATAAATTAATTAATGTAATCTAAATAAAATATAATATTAAATGAATTAAAAAATAATTATTAATTATTAAATTAATTAAAATTATTATTATTTAATTATTAAATTAATAACTGCGGCAGACTAAGTTAAATAAAAAATAATATAAATTTGTGTAAAATTAATAAAAAATAAAATATAAAAGAAAAATTAAACAATTATATACAAAGAGGATAAAAACGAAAGGATAAAACAAATATAAGTATCGTAAAATCAATAATAAAATTAATTAAATAAAATTAAGTTAAGTTAAGTTAAATAAAAAAAAAAAACAAGAAATAAATTAATAAAAAAAAAATACTAAATTAAAATAAAAATAAAAAATAAAAATAAAAATAATACAAAAAGAAAATAAATTAAATAAAAAAACTAAATTTCAATAGAAGTTAATAAAAAATTAAATTAAATAAAATAAAACGAGTTTAAAAGGCAATAAAACAATAAATAGATGAAATAATTGAAATAAACAAAATAAAATAAATAAAAAGATATAAAAAAAATTCAACATTTAAATTAACAAACAACAAAAGAATTTCATAAGTAAAAAATTAAATAATTAAACAAACAAATAAATACAAAAAAAAATAATTAAAATAAAATTGATTAAAAACAAAAAATTTAATATCAAGTAAACAGAAAATAACCAAATATTTTTAGAAAAAATGAGATGTAAAATTAAATTTGAATTAAATTAAGTAAATAAGGTTAAACATAACAAAAATAAGAAGTGGAAAATTAAATTAAACGAAATGTTTAAAAATTAAATTAATTAAATTAATTAAATTATAATAAGTCGACTAAATTGAATAAAGCAGAATAAAATCAAACTAAATAAAAAATTAATTTAATTCAATTCATTTAAATAAAAATTTAATTATTTTAAAGTAGAATAAAACAAACCTTCATAAAAAATTAATTTAATTTAATTCATTTAAACAAAATATAAATTAAATTAAGTATAATACAGTATTAATTCAATTCAATTCACAGGAGAAAAAATGAACCTTCGTAAAAAATTAATTTAATTTAATTAATTTAGATAAAAACAAAAAAGTGGGATATAGTATTAAATTAAATTAAATTTTTTTTATTTATTAATTTTTCTACTCTATTCAATTCATTTAGTTGATTTTAAATTCGTTTATTATTTAATTTAATTGCAATTACAAACCAACTTAAATTAAATTATGTTAAAATAAATAAAAGACTTTAAATTAACATCAAGTAAATTATATTAGCTTAAATTGAATTAATTAAAAAATTAATTTAAATTAAATATTTGTCAAAACGAAATGAAAATGTTAATAAAAGTAAAGGAAATAAAATGAAAACTTAAATTATACACAACTCTAGCACTTTGCACTTCGCCTCTATGTTACGTGGCATGCCATTTTCCACGTTTTTCTAACACGTAAAAAATTCATTTCCTTAAACCCATTTGTTGCTCACCTATGGCCTGTGGCAAATGCGGCTGTGTTTTGAGCCATTTCTCCAAAACAATGACGAGCTCTTCTAACTCAGGCTTAACAACCATTGTGATTTATTCAACAACAACTACAATAAGCAAAAAAGCAATAGAAAATAAAATGTTCAGAGCTTTATGTTACAAAAAAAATGATTTTGGCGAATCCTGAAACGAATTTTAATGTTTCATAGTTTTTTTTCTCTTTTTTTTTTACATTTGAGCACACTTTTTAAACAAGTTTTCCTGACACAATTTTTTTAACAGACTTTTCACGTTGCTCCTGTGCCGGAGATGCGCAAAATTAAATAAACGAACCGCCGCTCACGAGTAGCCCGTAGCAACTGAAAGCGCCTCCCAGCCGGTCGCGCCAATATGTACTCATAGTAAATACGGAGCTCGTAAACTCTGGCTTGCAAGCATGCGAAATGTGTGCTATGTTTACGCTGAAATCTTCGTGATTGGCTTAGTAATAAAACTAAGCACGCTGTAAAGCGGCAAATGCAGTTACATTGGTGGTGCCGCTGCCAGCCGTTTGTTCGCCCCAAACCGCATAACAATGAATGAAACAATGCGGACTATTCATTATTATGTTTTTCGTTTTTTTTTTTTTTTTTTTTTTTTGGAAATTGGATGTTATTTTGGCGACATTTTCAACGTGCTGGCTCATTTGGGCCTGATGTTTGTTGGCCGAATGACATTGAAAATCGTCACCACGGCCGTCACGCATGCCCGCGTACAATCCATTTGTCAAAAGCAACGCAGAACTCACTAATCTTTCAATCTGAGTCTGCTTGGGTCCGAAGTGGGTAATAAACACATACACGCGCATACATACATATACACTTCTTCTTTTTGGCGTACGCGATTATAGTAAAGCCTAAACCAGCACGAAGTGGAACATTTATTTCGCTTCCTAGTTAAGTCTAGAGAAAGCAGATCGGATGTGCAAAAGGATGATGTCAATATCTGTCTGAAAGTCTGAAAGTACGTTGTACCTGCTGTTTTTAGCTTCGTCGCTTGTATCACTAGTATTAAATTAAAGAAGTCACCTCGTTTAGCTGGAGCTGTTACTGTTGCTTGGCAACAGCTTATATAACGGTAATTGGCGCAGGGTCTCCCTTTTTGTGGCTCCAAACGTCAGGCAATCAGTCAGCCGCCCAAATTTATCAAAGGAACTGATGCATGCGCTCTGTTAGCTCTTCAAAATCATATTGAAATAGCTCAAGCGGATCGCTTTGTTGCGTTTTTCTTCAATCGTGATATATCAAGTTATTCGAGCTGCGTAATAATCGGTTGATGTGTTTGTTCTATCGTCATCTTTTGGTAAACTGGGCACATCATTCCGGGGTAAACATCTTCACAGCAACTTGGTTTCCGCCCTAAATAAACGTGGAACTTAAAACCATCTGTAAGTAGACTCGTCTTCGTACTGGACCAACGTGGGTCTAGATACTGTAGCAGGTTAAATTCCTACTTATCTAGATTCGAACCCAACGTATATCCTGCATGTAGAGAGTCTCCGCACAACACTAACCACCTCTTTACAGGCCGCCTGAAATCGACGCATCTAATCCCTCAATCCTCTTCGCGGTAGCTCTTCTTTCGATCATATTGAAATCAGCGATACCTTGAATGAGCGTCCTCCGAGAGCAGTAGTGCAAGTCGGACGGGAATATCAAGGCCAATGTGATGTGACTGCAGCTTTTCCATATCGAGCCTACCTCTTACCTCATTTACCTTTTGAAAAAGAAAGATTTCCATATGTGTCTAGTTTATCACAACATGATCGACATGGTTTTTTTTTTAATCAAAAATGTCCTTATGGTTTGTTTTCAACACCCCCTCTTCAGATTCGTAAATGTGTTAAATTCCAATACTAAGAATATCTTTTCAACTATTGGATTTTGTATGCTCTAAATTTGCGCTGGGCCTTGTTGAAGCTTCATCCGTTGATTTTGGGTAACTTTACCTAGTAAACTTAATTAAAACGATTATCTTAGCGTCATCTGTGAAGTCAAAAGGGCAACTAGATGCGAACATTTAATTTTTTTTATGAATTATCGGTGATTTGGCAACTCTTTTACTAAAAAAGCAAACACGAGCCGCATCGTCAACCACACGCAAAAATTCAAAGAAAAACATTAAAATTGTTGCTAAATAATAGTACGAAGTGTAAATAAATCAACAAAAATTAGCGCAATATTAACAGAAATAAGAAATCGTTGCAACTTCACTTCGTGTAGTACAAACTACGTTTTGAAAGCCGAGATAAAACCGCTCGAAAGGCTCGCTTTTGCCAGATTCAAAGCAACGCAGACGCACAACAACAAGGTGCCGCGTGGAGCAGCACTACCAGTTTACAATAGAACGGTATTATTAAGCCGCAGCACTGAATTCGTGTCACGCACCCCTGCCGCTAGTCCACAGGATGGTACCAATTGGTGCTGTACACGGTCACCCTGGCGTACATCCACCGCAGCCGATGCCAACGGCACCCACGGGTCCTAACACACTGCAATCATCATCGTCGGCCGCATCTAGTGCACCCTCCAATAAAAGTTCAATGTCTGTTAAACCTAATTATGCGCTGAAGTTTACTTTAGCTGGGCATACAAAAGCAGTGTCAGCTGTTAAATTTAGCCCGAATGGTGAATGGCTCGCTAGCTCTTCGGCGGATAAATTGATTAAAATTTGGGGTGCATATGATGGTAAATTCGAAAAAACAATATCTGGTCATAAACTTGGTATTAGCGATGTTGCTTGGTCTTCTGATTCACGTTTACTGGTAAGTGCCAGTGATGACAAGACACTCAAGGTATGGGAATTGAGCTCTGGAAAATGTTTGAAAACACTAAAAGGACATAGCAATTACGTATTTTGCTGCAACTTTAATCCGCAATCCAACCTAATTGTCTCTGGCAGTTTTGACGAAAGTGTACGTATATGGGACGTACGCACAGGCAAATGTTTGAAAACACTCCCAGCGCATTCTGATCCTGTGTCAGCCGTACATTTCAATCGCGATGGGTCTCTGATTGTAAGCTCAAGTTATGACGGACTATGTCGCATATGGGATACAGCAAGCGGACAGTGTTTAAAAACTTTGATTGATGATGATAATCCACCTGTAAGTTTTGTTAAATTCTCACCCAATGGCAAGTATATTTTGGCTGCAACTTTGGACAACACTTTGAAACTGTGGGACTACTCGAAGGGAAAGTGTTTGAAAACATACACCGGCCACAAGAACGAAAAATACTGCATATTCGCAAATTTTTCGGTAACTGGCGGCAAGGTAAATTTAAAATATAAAAATTGTTTTTAGATTGTCATGGAAACATTTTCTAATTACAGTGGATTGTTTCTGGAAGTGAAGACAATATGGTCTACATATGGAATTTGCAAAGCAAAGAAGTCGTACAAAAGTTACAGGGCCACACAGACACTGTGCTCTGTACGGCTTGTCATCCTACTGAAAACATCATAGCTTCCGCGGCACTAGAAAACGACAAGACAATTAAATTATGGAAAAGTGACACTTAATCAAACAGGCCGCTGCTAGAGAACATCCATATAGTGTATTAATTATAATAGTTTAAGAAATCATTTTCAAAACATTTATTATAAATTGTAATAACTAAACCGATTTGAACAAACATCTTTAAACATATAGAATATCATTTCTAATGTCTGTGTAAAGGTTTATTTTCATCCAAATAAAGTGAAAATTTTTAAATTTCTGTATTTTTTTTTTGACAAGTTAAAAATCTGAATGTCAAATAATAAAACATCGCTGCGATATGGCAACTTTGTTTTATTATCCACGTGAAGTAAGCTGGTGAAACTGCATCGGTCGACTGTGCTTTCCAAAATTTTCCAATTCATTGTTTTCTGCATACAAGATTATAAATATTTCTCATAACAAACTATAATTTTATAGAAAAAAACATGTCTAAAGCCAAAGGTAAAAAGAAAAACGAACGTTTTGATGACGAAGATGATGTGGAGGAAGTGAAACCAGCCCAAAACAAGAAGGCAGGTAAAAAAGGGAAGAAAGGCAAACGTGGCGGAGACTCTAGCGATGACGAATCTTTAGCCAGCAGTAAAGTGACGAGTGTGGATGCTGATGAACTGGAAAGTGTGAAATCTGGCAGTAAAGCAGCACAATCAAAGGGAAAGAAGGGTAAGAAAGGCAAGCGGAAAGACGACTGGAGCGATGGTGAGGAACCAGAAGATGTTGTGCAAGCTGCTGGTAAGAAAAAAGGGACAAAATTACAACATAGCGATGAAGAGGAAACTAGTGTATCTCAGCCAGCGCCTGCAGCGAAAAAACAAGGGAAGAAAAGCAAAAAGAACAAAAAGAAAGATTTTAGTGATGATGAAGACAGTAGTAACGAAAAGCCAAAATTACCCGATTTAGAAGATGATGATGAACTCGATGATGAAGATCTAAAGATTACTATTGCAAAACCTGCATCGAAGAAATCTGCCAAAAAACAACAACAAAAAGTTAACAAGTTTGCTTTTAGCGATGATGAGGATGATGATGATGATGAGCCCGAATTGGCAGATGAACAGGAAGATGAAGTTGTGGTAGAGGAAGCTCCTATGGAATCAATTCCAGAAAGCAAAGAAAATGGAATAGAGGATGCTGGTATCACAAAGCAAATCGAAGAGTTGAAAATTGAAAACAATGTGCCTGAAAACGAACAACTTCCAGCAGAAGACGAAAGCACGCAGGTGGAAGAGGAAAAAGGAACAGTCGCAGAAAATGAAACTGAAATCGCTTTGAAAGAGAAGAAATTAACTCACAAAGAGAAAAAGAAGCAGAAAAAACAACAGGACTATGAAAGGCAAATGGAGCTTATGACAAAGAAAGGTGGTTCTGGTCATTCGGACTTGGATAGTAATTTCACAATGTCCCAAGTGCAACGAACAGCCGGCCAGCAAGCACAGCTAGAACACGCTGTTGATATAAAAATCGAAAATTTCACAATTTCTGCCAAAGGTAAGTTACGATTATTTTTCACCCAATTGGATTTGATTAATCTGTCATACTATTTGCAGGTAATGATTTATTTGTAAACGCCAATCTCTTAATTGCTCACGGACGTCGCTATGGTTTGGTGGGTCCTAATGGTCATGGCAAAACAACGCTTTTGCGACATATAGCCACTCGTGCCTTTGCTATACCACCCAACATTGATGTATTGCTCTGCGAGCAGGAAGTAGTCGCTACAGATAAAACAGCCATCGACACCATTCTGGAAGCAGATGAGAAGCGTAACAAACTTTTGGCAAAGAGTAAAGAGTTGGAAGAGCAATTTGCCTCAGGCGACATGAGTGTCCAAGAAGAATTGAATGATACTTTTGCTGAATTAAAGGCAATAGGCGCTTATTCGGCAGAAGCTCGTGCTCGACGTATCTTAGCTGGTTTGGGTTTCAGCGAGGAAATGCAGAACCGACCTACAAACAAATTTTCTGGTGGTTGGCGTATGCGTGTCTCCCTAGCACGTGCTCTCTATTTGGAGCCTACACTCCTTATGCTTGATGAACCTACCAATCATTTAGATTTAAATGCGGTTATTTGGTTAGATAACTATTTACAAGGATGGAAGAAAACACTACTGATAGTTTCTCACGACCAGAGTTTTTTGGACAATGTGTGTAACGAAATCATACATCTTGACCAAAAGAAACTACATTATTACAAAGGAAATTACTCAATGTTCAAGAAGATGTATGTACAGAAGCGACGCGAAATGATTAAAGAATATGAGAAACAAGAAAAACGCTTGAAGGAATTGAAAGCTCATGGGCAATCGAAGAAGGCGGCAGAGAAAAAGCAGAAAGAGGTGCTTACACGCAAGCAAGAAAAGAACAAGTCTAAACAACAAAAGCAGGACGATGATGATGGTCCACAGGAATTATTGGCACGTCCGAAAGAGTATATCGTTAAGTTCCGTTTTCCAGAGCCTTCACAATTGCAGCCACCAATTCTGGGTATTCACAATGTTACTTTTGCCTACGAAGGCCAAAAGCCGTTGTTCATTAACACCGATTTCGGTATTGATCTCACAAGTCGTGTTGCCATTGTCGGTCCAAATGGTGTAGGCAAATCTACTTTCCTTAAGTTGTTATTAGGCGAATTAGAACCTCAAAAAGGCGAACAAAGAAAGAATCATCGACTTCGTGTTGGACGCTTTGATCAACACTCTGGTGAGCATTTGACCGCTGAGGAATCTGCCGCTGAATATTTGCAACGTCTTTTTAATTTGCAACATGAGAAGGCACGTAAAGCGCTGGGCTCCTTTGGTTTGGTAAGTCATGCGCACACAATTAAAATGAAAGACCTCTCAGGTGGTCAGAAAGCGCGTGTTGCACTTGCTGAACTCTGTCTTAGTGCGCCTGATGTACTGATTCTTGATGAACCTACAAATAATTTGGATATTGAATCTATTGATGCACTGGCGGAGGCCATAAACGAGTACGAGGGTGGCGTGATTATTGTATCTCACGACGAAAGATTGATTCGTGAAACTGGTTGTACTCTATACGTAATCGAAGATCAGACGATCAACGAAATCGATGGCGAGTTTGATGACTACCGCAAGGAGGTGCTGGACGCGTTGGGCGAAGTGGTCAACAATCCAAGTGTTGTAGCCAATGCAGCTGTGTTGCAATAATAACTCACTACATCGATTTTAGATACCTATTTCAAATTGTTTTGTATTCATGCTTACATCTATTACTGTAATTATTTATAATATTTCAATAAATAAACCGTTAAAGTTAAAGAGGAGTGCGAAGACAAAAACTGAGATTTTGTATATTACCTAGAGACAAATACTAAACTACTAGCTTTTCAATATTCTTAGTGCACACGTCACTTAGCTTCGCTATTCCGTAGAAGCCAATAGCTAATTAAAATTGATTAAGGCAGTCAATAGTGTTGGATTTCAAAATGCTTACGAAATTAGTAAACATTTATCGTGCAAATTACACATGTATGCACATTTTGCACACAACCCGTTTTAAAACTTATCCATTGCACTCACCTCTTTTATCCGGCCTTTGGCAAAAACTTCCAAAAAACCGCTTAACCTGACAGCACAGTCATCATTTTAATAGGTGGCATCACCACTGGAGCTTTTCAAATTGCTTTGTCAAAAACAAATTTTACGAGCTGATTGTCACAGATTTCTCAATTTCAGTGAACGAGAATAAACTGGACGGAAAAAGAAAACAATGGAAATTCGAAAGTAAATCGCGTTAAAGGAATTAATTAGGACAGTGCTCAAGATAGTAAATATTTAAGTGATAAATTTATAAGTACTAAGTGCGGAAAACGATTTGCAGTTGGATATTTTGATACAACAGTGAAAGGTTTGAAGTTATGAATGAATTTCAACCAGCTGCAGAGGGCACAAATAAGCTGACCTCAAACAACGAACAAATTTCTCTTATTGATGTGGGGACTAACAATGCACAAACAAGTCCTGGAACTTCAGAAATGCATAGAACTAGGAAAAGCGAACAAATTCGTCTGCCCATTGTAGGCATGACTTGCCAGAGTTGCGTAAGGAATATCGAAAGCACAATATCTGGAAAACTAGGAATATTAAATGTACGGGTTGTCCTTGAGGAAAATTCCGGCTATTTTGACTATAATCCAGAACAAACAGATCCTGAAAAAATTGCATTTGAAATCGATGAAATGGGTTTCGATTGCCCCTATACACCCACAAATGATAAACTCAATCCTTCAGAAAAGAATGCTGAGGTTGGTGAAGGTGGCTTCGATAATATTGGTAAAACGCAAATACGCGTCATTGGCATGACTTGTAACTCCTGCGTGCACAACATAGAAGGCAATATAGGCATGAAGCCAGGCATATCAAAAATTAGCGTCAGCTTGGACGATAAGCTTGCCACAGTGGAATACGACGTCAAACAATTTACGCCCACACTTATTGCTGAAATGATTGATGACATGGGCTTTGAAGCTAGTGTATGGGAGAGTGATAACGTTGGTGATAGTGTTAGTACACCCAAGCGAACGCCACAACGTAATTCAATATCACCACAAAAGCAACAGGTGTCAAGTATGCAGCCTGCAAATAATACACCAAAAGCTCATGCTGAAGTAGCTGTAGATGAAGCGCTATCAAAATGTTTTCTACACATACGAGGTATGACATGCGCCAGTTGTGTGGCCACCATTGAGAAACATTGCAAAAAGATTTATGGCTTGGATAGCATACTGGTGGCACTACTTGCTGCCAAGGCGGAGGTGAAGTACAATGCAAATGTAGTGACTGCAGAAAATATTGCCCAATCAATAACTGACTTGGGATTTCCCACAGAAATCATCGACGAACCGAACAGTGGCGAGTCTGAGGTGGAGATTGAAATCACAGGGATGACGTGTGCGTCCTGCGTTAACAAAATCGAAACGCATGTGCTGAAAGTGAAAGGCGTTACTGCCGCAGCTGTTACGCTACTGACTAAAAGAGGTATGTACATCTGAATGTACAATATATATGTAGGTGCATGAACGGTATGGAATACTTACATATAAGTTTATAATTTGGGTAATGCTGCTCTAATATGCAAATAAATGTCTATACATGTATTTATCTATGTTCACATGTGCATAGTTAGATGGCGTTGGACCATTATAATAAAATACATAAAGTGAATGCAATCAAAACCAGTTTAAATAATACTTTTACATTTCGAATATGCAAAGTTTTTTTCCCTCTCTATGTTTGTGAGTTCATAATCTCATACTATTATGCTTATACAATAAAGATTAATTAAAAAGATAAAGTTCTCTGAAAACGAAAATGTAGTATTCCATTATTGGCAAAATTTAAGGATTTTTAATAAGAATATTGTTGTAATGAACGGAAATTGGTTATTTACCATCTTTTAAGTCCAAATGCATATCAGAGCATGAAATAATGTGAATATATATGCATATATATAATAAAATGAGAAATGAAAACATGTGTGTGTGTGTTGATATGCTCTCTTGGCAATACATATGTATGTAGTTATGTGCATCAATTGATATAGAAAACATAGTGCTACCGCTTGTTAATTGTTTGATAAGACCACACATGCATACAAACATGTATGTTTGATGTACAGACATATGTATGTAGGTAGCTAATTGGCACACTGAAAATGTTTTCATGCCGAGTCTCGCCTTAGATTTCTTGTGGGCGCTTCAATATTTTTGCGTCAAATTGAAAAATCGGTTCTTAAGCCTTCAATATATGTACATATGCATATGTCATTAGGCACATACATACATACGTGTATGTGAAAAAAAAATATCTTCTTTGTTGTTTGGTAGGTAGTTTTATCATTTTTATTAAGAGTATTTTAAATTAATTTATTATATTAAATGTCAATGAGCTCGGCAATAGCATAGCATTGCGAACGCATATCGAATGCTTATCATTAGATGTACAGCAAAGGTTTTATAATTGTTATCTAAATTATCTAAGTATTCATTTTAATGCTAATAATTAAACATATTTTAAATATATGTATATTTTTTATACCATGCAAAAGTTCTTATAAAACCCAAATCTAACCACAATTTACACATGTGTACATATGTATTACATACAATTTTCACATATTTTGGCGCCTGGACTTATAATCACATGCATACACATACTATTGCATATATAAGTGTCTACAAGGAAACATTCTTGCGATAATTTTTGAAAAACTATGCAATAATTGCTTTGGAAGTGGGCCTTTCGAAGCCATTTGCTGCATGCATTTGTCAATTGGAAATATACATTTGTATGTATGTATGTTAAATATGTCATCATTAAAATGTAATTAACGCTGCTTATCACCTCACGACCACTATATACATACATATATACATATGTACACATGCATGTGGCGCAGAAATCACCAAGATATTCCGTTCAATACATACTTACGTACATTATGCATATTTTGGAAATAATTCAACTAGAACTTCTGTTACTGTTGTTGTTGTTGTTGTTGTTGTTGTTATGTTTGTTGTTGTTATGTTTGTTGTTATTATTGTTATGGTTGTTGTTGTTATGTTTGTTGTTGTTGTTGTAACGGTTAACTAAAGCTTCTAATGACGCTTGATTACCTCATTTTGCCAATTGGGAATTCTCAAGTCTTCATTTACCGTTTTCTTCAACACCACTTCGACGCACTTGTTATTATTATATAATTAATCTACACACGCATATATCGTTTGCATAACATTACAAAATGCAAATTTTCATTAATAATACCATTCACATGCAGGTAAATTCCGTTATAACACCGAATTAACAGGGCCACGCACCATATGCGAGGCAATCGAGCAGCTGGGCTTTCAGGCACGTCTACACAATGGCCGAGACAAGATGACGCACGACTATTTGCAGCACAAAGAAGAGATTGCCAAGTGGCGTAATGCATTCTTGGTCTCGCTAATCTTTGGCGGTCCATGTATGGTTGCCATGATCTATTTTATGGTTGAAATGAATGACAAAGGTCACGCGTCTATGTGCTGTCTGGTGCCTGGATTGTCTATGGAGAATTTGGTTATGTTTTTGCTTTCAACGCCGGTGCAATTCTTCGGTGGTTGGCATTTTTACGTGCAGTCTTATCGGGCAATACGACATGGTGCCACCAATATGGATGTTCTCATCTCGATGGTCACCACAATATCGTACATCTACTCTGTAGCTGTTGTCATAGCAGCGGTGCTGATGGAGCAGAACTCTTCACCGCTCACCTTCTTTGATACGCCACCGATGTTGTTGATTTTCATATCACTCGGTCGCTGGTTGGAGCACATTGCCAAGGGTAAAACGTCAGAGGCGCTCTCGAAACTCTTGTCCCTGAAGGCAGCTGAGGCGTTATTGGTGGAGGTGTCACCGGACTTTGATATAAAATCAGAGAAAATCATATCCGTTGATTATGTCCAACGTGGCGATATACTAAAGGTAATACCAGGCGCCAAAGTGCCTGTGGACGGCAAAGTACTTTATGGTCATTCCACGTGCGATGAGAGCCTCATTACGGGCGAGTCAATGCCGGTGGCCAAAAAGAAGGGCGCAGTTGTGATTGGTGGCTCAATCAATCAAAATGGTGTGCTGCTTATATCTGCGACACATACGGGTGAGAACACCACACTGTCGCAGATTGTGCGTTTGGTTGAAGAAGCGCAAACTTCCAAAGCGCCTATACAGCAGTTGGCCGATCGTATCGCCGGCTATTTCGTGCCCTTCGTTGTGCTGGTATCGACTGCTACCTTGTTCGGTTGGCTTATCGCGGGTTTCGTTGACCAAGACCTGGTGCCGGTCGCTATGGAACACAAGATGCATATGGACTCAAACGCCATTGTCATTAGTCACGCCTTTAAATGTGCGCTGAGCGTTTTGGCCATAGCGTGCCCCTGCGCTTTGGGTTTGGCCACGCCTACTGCTGTTATGGTTGCCACAGGCACGGGCGCTATAAACGGCGTGCTTGTTAAGGGTGCTACGGCGCTGGAAAATGCCTACAAGGTAAGTTTGAAGAGTGGCGCCTCTAAATCGTGTTTGAGACTAAAACCTTCTCTCTTTTTCAGGTAAAAACTGTTGTCTTCGATAAGACCGGCACGATAACACATGGCATGCCAATGACCTCTAAACTGGTTATGTTTGTCAAGCCGGCTGTGTGTAGCTTGGCACGCGCGCTTACCATAATCGGCGCGGCGGAGTCGAACAGCGAACATCCCATAGCCACTGCCGTAGTGCGATTTTCCAAAGATATGTTGGGCTTGCAAACGTTCGGCAAAACAGAGAATTTTCTCGCGGTGTCGGGTTGTGGCATAAAAGTCACTGTGCTGCAATATGAACACGCTTTGCGTCAGGCACGTAATGCAGAGAAAATCATCAATTATGAGAATAACTACCGCTCCCAGCCCAATGCAGTGCATACTGAGAATGGTGCAAGCATCGAAGAACTCATACCACAGTTGCTGACCAGAAAATCTATGGAACTTCAACAACAACAGCAGCTACTGCAATTGGATGAAACCCTTAACGACGGCACAGTAAACGCGGAGGCGATTTCCAATGTGCTCGGCAGCGAGATAAACGTGCTGATTGGCAACCGTGAATGGATGCATCGCAACGCCATAGCCGTACCGCAAGAAATCGACAACTGCATGAGCGAGGAGGAGTCTAAGGGTCATACGGCGGTGTTGTGCGCCCTGAACGGCCAACTGGTCTGCATGTACAGCGTCTCGGATATGGTCAAGCCGGAAGCACATCTGGCCGTGTACACACTCAAGAAAATGGGCATCAACGTCATACTGCTGACTGGCGACAATGAGAACACGGCTGCAAGCATAGCGCGACAGGTGAGCGAAACACTTTGTGAGGATAAAAATTATTTTTACTAAAAATTTTAATATAACTTCCACAGGTGGGCATTAAACGCATCTTTGCCGAGGTGTTACCCTCACACAAGGTCGCGAAAATACAGCTCATACAAGAGAGCGGCGCGCGTGTGGCCATGGTCGGCGACGGCGTCAACGACAGTCCCGCGCTCGCACAAGCCGATGTGGGTATTGCCATTGCGGCCGGCACTGACGTCGCAGCCGAAGCGGCTGATGTGGTGCTAATGCGTAACGACCTGTTGGACGTGGTGGCTTGCCTCGATCTGTCGCGCCGCACCGTGCGCCGTATACGGTACAACTTCCTGTTCGCCAGCATGTACAATCTACTCGGTATACCGCTGGCGTCGGGCATATTTGCACCGTTCGGCTTCACGTTGCAGCCATGGATGGCGTCAGTGGCGATGGCAGCCAGCTCCGTGTCCGTAGTGTGCTCTTCCTTAATGCTAAAATGTTATCGCAAGCCATCGGCCGCTTCGTTGCGCACGCCGGAATATATGAAATATTTGGCACAGGAACGCGATGGTGAACGCGAACCGGATCAGTTGTCACTGCATCGCGGCTTAGAAGACTTGCCACGCGCCAAGCTAAATCGTTCGAGTAGCTCGCTGCTGTCGCGCATATTCCTACAAGGCGGTGTCAACAATCGTTACGATCACAATGAGAGCAGTCTGCTCGGCACCGATGGTGGTGACTACACGCCGAAAATTGTCAAGACCAAGAGCATTAAGAACGTGACGGAAATGCAGAAATTGTAGAGCGATGATCAAAAGGCAATGCTTTGAGCATTTGTGAAAATGTAAAATTTGTTTTTGTTATTATTTAATCTAACTATATTTTTGTATATATGAGACGTATATAGTACATACATATAATATGTTATTGATGTAAGCTTAAGGAGCGTAGTGCGGCGCAGTCGTTTTTTTTTTTACTTTTTTCTACCAACAAATATTATATATGTACATACATATATTGTAACTTGGCCAATTTGGTGCATATACATACCTTGTACACACAAACACACTTGTATATATGAAATAAGAAATTAGCGCCGCTACTATGCGACGAACAAATATTAATTGTAGAAAATTCTCAGATTTTTTTCTATTTTTGCCCTTCTACAAATGTCCAGTTTGAACAATAAAATCCTTAAAAAGTATGACAAAATGCAGCTGTATATGTATATGTTAATACGCAACTGTTATTAAATACTATTAAAATATCTTTTTATACATACATACATACATACAATTTAGTCATATTTACATATGTATATACATACATACATGCATAAATGCATATAATTCGAAACGATTAAGAATAAAGACCCTGTATCAGCGAAAAACTAAACAGATGTATAGATTCATGCATACCTACATATGTATATACGTTTTCGATACTTATCAAATATAATTTATTTGACAAATGTGGAAATTTAAAATAACAAATATGGTTTTTTTTATCTGTTTTTATCATGCAAATAGTGTTTGTATAGTTTATTTTTATCTATTTTTATCTAGTTAAATTTTTGTATTGTATTATTATTTAATTACCTTTTATTTTATGACATTTTAATTTAATATAATTTATTATTCTATAATATTTAATTCTATTTTATATTATATATACATTGCTTTATTTTATATTATTAAATTTAAGTAATTTAACTTTTTTTAAATTATATATAAATACATTTTAATTGTATTTTATTTTTTTTTTTTTAGTATTATTTTGCTTTACATTAAATACATTTAAATTTTATTTTATTTATTTTTTTTTTTTGTATTTAATTTATTTTTGTTATTTTAATATTTTAACTTTTTTATATTCAATAAAATAAAATTTTTTTTATTTATTTTTATTTGGTATTTAATTAATTTTTTTGTTTTAATTTTTTTACTTTTTATATAATATTTCATTTAATTTTTTTTGATATTAACTTACTTAACTTTCGTTTCTTATAGTAAATTATCTAAAATATTTTAATTTTACGTTAAGTAATTTAATTTAGCTTTTTCTTATTTTATTTTATTTTAAATCGTATAATTAAATTTAGTTTAATTGTTTTCAATTTATTTTCTATCTTTCAATTTAGTCATATTTACATATGATATATATATCTAATTAATTTTTGTTAAATATAATTTTATAATATACAATTTTATATTTATTTTCACTAATTTTTTTTACAATTATTTGTATTAATTAATAATTTTTTTTTCCTTAAATAATTTTATTTTTTTTAACTTTTTTATATATTATTTAATTTAAGTTTATTTATTTTACGTTAATCAGTTATTTTAACTTTATTTAATTTTGTGTTAATTAATTTCATTTAGTTTAATTTATTTTATTTTGTTTTATATATTTTAATTTAATTTTTTTCCCTTTGTTTTGTTATAAATTGTTAAATTAGTTTGTATTTCACATCATTACTTACATTTTTTTATCTAATTATTTCCATTATTATAATATATTTCATTTATTTATTTTTTTTTGTTTTAGTTCAATAAATTTTGTTTTATGGAAAATAATTCAATTTAGTTTATTATAATTTAATTATTTTCAATTATTTTAAATGTATTTTATTGTACTTTAAGTAATTTTTTTTATTTTAATTAATTTTTTTAAATTTTATTTTAATTTTTATTTTTTTTCGTCAATTCATTAAATCTATTATAAAACATATAATTTTTTAATATTATTTGATTTTTTTTTTAAATTTATTTATTTAATTTTCTAACTTTATTTAAATTAATTAATTAAAATTTTTTTTATTATTTGGTTCAAATTATTATACATTTTTTATTTATTTATATTATAGTTTAATCTATCTTTATTGCACTAACCACCATCGACTGGACGCCATGGCTGGGTGGAAAATTCTACCAAATACCAGAATGAAGCTTGGTTACGCTTAACAAGATCTCTAGGAGGTTAATGGTCTCAAATTCTCCTGTCGCCAGCCGACGAAAGTATATTGAGGACTAGTCAATGTCGTTAGGATTATCTTTTCCTTTCAAACCTTTGGAGACCGAGCGCTCGCTCTGTGCCGTGGGATTCTTTTAATTTTGGCACAAATTAAAGTTTGGATGTTGTAGTGACCCAACGCCAACTTAACAAGACTATATCCCGATGGTGAACAGCGTAAATGTGTATGTCCGGTATGCAATGAGTCTCCACACGAAATTATCTATCTCTTGTTATGTCCCACGATCGCAAGTCGACTCATCTAACTCGATCTCTCTTTCTCTCTCTCTCTCTCTTTCTCTCTCTTTCTCTCTCTCTTTCTCTCTCTCTCTCTATCTCTTTCTCTCTCTCTCTCTTTCTCTCTCTTTCTCTCTCTCTCTTTCTCTCTCTCTCTTTCTCTCTCTCTCTTTCTCCCTCTCTCTTTTTTTCTCTCTTTCGTTTATTGAAGTTTTAAATTAAAAATTAATCATCCTTTGACTTATTTGAAAAAAAAAAAACAATTCTTTTTGAAAATGAACACAAACAATGACGACCCCCTACTCTCTACGTACGAACAATCAACCTACCAATTGTTCCACCTGAAAGTGTTGAGCCATAAATATTTGACTTCTTATTAATATTTGCCTGGGAATGCGCTGCCAGAGCAGACAGCAACGCGCACAAGATGTCGTTCTGATGACAAAATTAGTTCAATCGAAAAAAAAAATATAAAAACAAAATTAAAAAATGAAAAAATTGTCACTATTGATACAGCAGCGCAGCTGTTTTGCAGCCAACGTATTGTTTGTTTATGGCTCTATTTTATTTTACACCTTATGTACATAAATATTCTTCATCAATTGTCATATTTCGGCCAAATTAGTTCAATAAAGAGAGCACGTGCGCATCTACAATACCTGCACTCGCCCGTTGTCGCAGACACGTAGCGATGCCAATACATATGTACATGCATACGTGTACTGCCTTCAGGTCGTTAAAGTGATTAATAATGATTGCTACAGGCTTATGTTATTAATCATGAGACATATGAACATTTGTATATTACACCCGCCCATATATTGTAATAACGGTGTTTACATAGCTTTGTTATTTGTTGGCAAATAAATTTTATTATTACGTTTCTTTTGGTTTTTCTTACACAATTACTGCAAGTGTTATTTTTTTTTAATTTTTTAATTCGAAAATTTTCAAAATATCTCGATTTTTTTTTTTTAATTTTTCTGAATTTGAAAATTCTCCATATATTTCGATTTTTTTTTTCAATTTTTTAATTCGGAAATTTTCAAAATATTTCATTAATTATTTTCATTTATTAATTATAGACAAATTAAAAGTAGTATTGACTGCTAATGCAGGGCACAACATTGCTTTTCCTTTACGTATTTGAGTTGCACTTGGTGTCGCACCTCCTGCTGCCAAATATTATATATGTGTGTATGTGTGTATATGTTGTTTATTCAACTTGCTACTATATTTAATGTCAACATCTATGTGTGGCTGTGTTTGTGTGTGTGTGTGGGGGGATGTGTGAGTGTGATTTCCGTTCCGCCTTTCAACACTCTTCTATGATCTCCATTGGCGTACGTTCCGTGGCGTTTTCCAATTTGGTTTTCGTTATCGGATAAACATGCAAATTCTCCTTGAAGTCTTTAATGTCCACAATTGTGGTGGCATCGCCATCCTTCGGTATGAATCGCACATCCAGCTTACTCGCTAATGCATTGAAGAGCTCCTCATCGTCCACCTCTGAGTCACTGCCATTGCCACTGCTGCTGCTGCTGCGATTATGCTCATTGGAGTTCTCCTCGCCGCGTGTGGGTGAACGCTTAGCGCGCAGCGCATCCTTATTGCCAATCACTTGCACCGACAATTTGCGCAGATTGGTGCGTTCGTTGTTGAGGCAAAAGTCGATTATGTCCTGTTTGGTGAGCGCACGCAATACGTCGATTTCACGTCGTCGCCGATCGAAAACATACTCCTCCGAGGTGATTTCCTCCCAATGATGAGACACCTCCTCAGCCAGTGAGATATCAACAACCTGTTTGATTTTGATCAGCGACTCGCGTACATGATCGAAGTCCTCTGCAGACATTTCCTCAAGAATTTGTAACATTTTGCCGCGAAACACTTCGATGCGTTCGTCAACGTGTGCGGCGCTAAATTTCGTCTCCTGCGAATTTACCGCTATTGAATAGCCAATTATGCCGTAATTCATGCGCACCGAAGCGGATACATAATACCCGAGCTGTTCTTTCGTGCGCAGCGTGTCGAACAGTGGCTCTTCGACGAACATCATTAGCAGATCCAAGATGCTTTCAAGACGCAGGGAACAGGGACCAATTTGATAGAAATTACAAATTACGGTATTCACATCTTGATCATTGAGCGCGCGGCAGCGTATAAAGTGTGAGCCTTGGGGCAGCTGGACGGTACGATTTTCGATGTATTTAGTCTGGAGAGAAAAAAATTGAAAGCAAAAAGGACACAATCAAATTTTGTTGTTGTAAATGAAAGAATATTCCCCCAAATTGATTTTTGAGGACAGCTGCGGCTGTAACAGCCTTTGGTTAGGTAAAAATTCGGGTAATTTGGGCATGAAAACCCAATAGCTGGTCGCCTCTTGAGACCAGCATGCGTTACCACGTCTAAATCTTTACCCCTAACCCTCAGGGGGCTGTTGTTGCTATAGCAGCTAGATAAGCTTCGTCTGGAAGCGGGATAAACCAGTATAGCCATTGAGGTCGGTCATTTAACAGGCGGTCCAGGAAACGAGACGTTTCGATGGACTCGGACCAGAGGAAGAGGTGTGTTAGATGAGTTTGATGCAGAGGAAGTGGCAAGGAGTCGGTTATCGTCATGCGGAGATTCTTTTAAGGAGAGACATACATTAGGAATGTAGGGCTTATATCTGGATAGGTAGGAGTTTCAACGACTACAGTAGCGGAATCTTAACTGTGTTAGTATTTATTCGGATCTCGAGAGGCAGCTCTAGCTCTTGGTCTCCTATTAACATTTTCCAGCAGTACGAATACGCCACTAACCAGAAGAGAATTTAAGAGGATGTTAACGGAATCTCGGGAAACAGTGTTTAAAACCTGTCGTTCTGTCGCGGTGATCAGCGGTTCGCTATTATTGTCTTAAGCCTAAGCGGAGATTCAGCTACCAGTGAGTAAGTGTCTGCTAGGATGGATCCTATGGTAATAAAGTCTAGTACACTAATATATTACCTCTTTGATATTGCGACAATTGAGCGTTGTAAGCACCGAATTCATGACGTTATGTGCCGATTCCTCCGTTAAATTGCCCTGCATAAGTGTCTGTAGATAGAGTTCGCTCGTGTAGGCATCTGAGAAGTTTAACACGTCATTCAAGGTGAGACTATCCACGGATTTATATTTGGTTATTATAGGCCAGCGTATATGCTCCACAAGGCTTAAGCGTATATCCCTGAAAGAGAGAGTGAGAGAGAGAGAGAGAGAGAGAGAATTATGAGCGTAAATTAACTCTTATGATGACAATAGGTAGACTCACTTATTCAAAGTGCGCGGCTTGATGAGCGAATTGAAATAAGATTTCTTCTGATCTGTTTTGAAGATATTAAACTGATCTTCTGTAATGTGATCACGCATTGATACCATCGCCTTCGTTATAATGCCAACCAGCAAATGCAATTTCTCATTGTAGCCATTTACCTGTTGAGAATAATCGAGATTAATGGAAATATTGCAAAATGTCTTTCACTTTACGCACCTTTAAAATGATGCCTTTCTCAGCAGTGTAAAACTGATAGGAAAGACCGGCAACGGTTGCTGGATACAGCTCTTCGCATAGGCGGAATTTGATTAAGCGCTCATAAAGCGCACACAAAGCATCGCTTGAAATGGAAAACATTTTAAAATTTATTTATTTTGAAATTTAAAAAAAAATAAAAATAAAAAAAAAAATAAAAAAAAAAGAAATAAAATATTTATAAAAATAAAAATTAAAATAAGTAATAAAGAATTGAAAAAGAATCAAAAAAAAATAGAATTATTAATAAAATAAATAACAAAATAAAACAAAACCAAACAAAAAAAAAAAACAATTAAAAAATAATGAAAGATTAAAATAAAAAAAAAATTATATGAATATAAAAAATAAATAAAATAAAATTAAAAAAATTAATTTAATTAATTAAAAAATAATAATAAAAAAATATGAGGTATGAAAAAAATAATAATTTAAAAAATAAATAAAATAAAATGTAAAATAATACTAAAATAAAAATATGTGGTATAAAAAAATAATATAAAATTAAAAACAAAAATATTATAAAATAAAAAATGAAGTAAAATAAAAAAATACATACAAGCATATATAAAAAAAAAAATTATATAAAAAAAATAAAAATAATAATATATAAAAAATAAGATTAATAACATATAAAAACAAAAACAAAATAAAAATATATTAAAAAAAAAATATAATAAAAAAATATGAAAATAAAAACTAAAAACAAGAAGGTAATAAGTTAAAAATTATTAAAAATTAAAAAATAACATAAAATATAAAATAAAAAAATAAACTAATATTTAAAATAAATGCAAAAAAAAATAAAGTAAAAAACATAAAAATAAAATAAATAAAAATTAAATTAAGCAGAAATAAAATAAAAAATAAATATAAATTAAATTAAATAAAAATTAAGAAATAAAATATAACATAAATGTAAAAATATATAAAAAAAATAATAATAAAGCAAAAAAATAAATATAAATTAATTAAATATTAAAATAAAAACAAAAAAAGTTAAAATTAAATAAAACTAATAAAATAGTACATATTAGAAAGTAATATTAAATATGTAAAATAAATAAAAATAATAATTTAATAACATAAAAAATTCAAATAAAAAAGTAAATCTTACCATTATTATGTGTTTTACTTACTTTTTGGGATCCTTGCGCAACAATGGCGACACAAAATAGAAGTACATATAAGCCTCTGGTAGCAGAAATTTATCATCCTGCCTAAACCACAATTCACAAATATCTGTTTGGAGAATCTTTTTCGGTGTAACCGGTATCTCCGGCTTGCCATTCTCCTCCCAGTGTAGGCGGAAATCTGTTGAAATAAATCGATTCGGTTTTGGTAAGAATAGCTCAGCTATGGGCTTTGAATCATTCCACAGATCACGCCATTTTTGTGGCATTCCAATTGTCGTATACTCAGTGCCAAACCATTTTTCCTTTTTGTCATATGTTATGCCTTCATATTTATGTTGCGAGGTGATCATTATATTAAATTTAAATTCATTTAAATGTCTGACAACTTCCTGTATGTGTTCTTCATTATATTCATAATACAATTCAGTGCCGGTGAGTATATCCTTTGGGGGATAATATTTCAATTTAACAGCCAATTTTTCGACATTGTCAAGTGCTGGGCGCTGTGACTCGAAACGGAAATTAGTCGCTTCAATTTTTTGCAATTCTGTGTAGGCATCTTGAAATGGGCCGCAGTCAGCAAATAATTTAACGAAGGCAAAACAAGCGGCGAGTACCTAAAATTTATATTTTATAAGTTTTTCTTCTGCTCATTTTATGCGTATATGATTACCTCGTCTAGATGCTGGAAACCACGATCTGTTAAAAATATGCCAATAACAAATGATGAGTATATCGTATTTGATTCGAAACCACTTTCATCGATGCCCGCCGTCAGTTCTAATGCCCATAAGCGTTTTCTCAAATAGGCGCACAGACTGCCCTCACCTTCGTAGCCAACCAGATGTGAAATAAATTGATCTGGTTTTGTTTTGTATTGCTAATGGTTAAAGAGAAAAAGAGATATCATTATTTGTGTTGCAAAAATAATAAATTTTCTAAAATATTCGTTACTTTTATCATAGATGGCAGTATCCAAGTCAGCTCTAGTTTGCATATATTTTCTATGGGTTTAATAAAGATCACTTCTTCGAAAAATTCTTTACGGAAAGCATCCTGATAATTATATGGCGACAGATCTATGCCGGGCAGGTCGTTACTAGGTATGCCAGAGAAGTGTTTCACAACCATTTGCTCTAATTCGTCAATAGGCAGACGCGCTTGTACACAAACACACATACGATGCGCACTATAATGGCGCTTTTGAAATTCATGTAATTTTGCGTGCAATTCATCATCACTTATGCCCTCTTTGAGCGTCTTTAGATTGCCCCAGGGGAATGTGGCATGTGGATAGCCTGGTGTAGCGTATGCAGCGACAAGTTGATCACGTCGCACTTCGTCATCATGTACGATTTGCTGAAACTCAGATTCAACAGCGTCACGTTCACGTGTCATGGCTTCCTTCTTCATGAGAGGTGCTTTCAACAAGGCTGAGAAATAGTCCATACTGCTGTCTAAATGTTCCTCAGATACCTCAAAGTAGAAGCATGTCTCTTCGAACTCTGTATGCGCATTATCAAAACCACCACATTTTTTTATGTGCGCATCAAATGCATTCTCAGCTGGAAACTTTTCCGAACCCATAAAAATCATATGTTCCAGAAAATGTGCTAAACCTTGATATTCGGGTGGTTCAGTAAATGAGCCAACATCAACTAGCAAAGCACAGGCTGCCAGCTTTTCATCGCCTTAAAGTAAAAACGTTTTATATTTATATAAGACAAAATTTCACATTTGCATAATAACCTTCTTCCGATTCTAAATCCGAATCAGTTTCCCCATTATCTGTTGTAGATGTGCTCATTGACTCTTCATCTTCACTGCTGGTGCTGCTGCTCTCCTCAGCACACGAGTCGCCAGTAGAGTCATAAGAGGAAGAAGATGATGAAGAGGTTAGTCCACAATGTGGCACTGGTGTGGGGTCCGATACGAGCAGTGCCCGAATACCATTACTCAGTAATAGGGTTCTGCAAAAATTGTACAATTACTGTCCATACCATAGTTATTTAGATTTTTCAAGCATAATATTTACTTGTAGTGTTTTTTGTCACTTTCCGACTTGTCAGGGATTTCCAGATATCTCACGGCTGATTCTGTATTTACCATGGCTGACGTTGAAAAATTATTTCTTAATAGTCCTGAACACAGAAAATTTTTAGATTCTTGATATATTTTCAATGTGTCAACTAAAGCCTTGTGGCAATAGCTAAGATTTATACGATTTCCTAAAGTTGCGTTTGTTACTAATAATTTAGAAAATCGCCGAATAAACATAAACTTTCAAAGCGATTTTCTCAAGGAATGGTTGGGGATTCCCAATTAAAATTGTTGTTGTTTTTCAGCACTATTTTTATGGTCGATGTTTTAAATTTGTAATTATAATATTATTATTTTTTTTTTTATTTTGAAACGTAATTAAATTTTATTGGATTTTTTCCAAACCAATTTTTGCCGCAACCTATATCGAAAAACAAAAGCAAAGTGGCCGAAAATTAAATCCTACTGATGATTTTTTTATTATTTTCTATTTACTTTGACGTTTAGTCCACGTTCGCATTTCTTCCAGTTACAACTTAGGATGACAAAATTAATTGAGCTATGGGAAAAATGTATAACTTTTAAGAATCGACTAAGTTCAGTTCTAAGTTATCGGTGTGGTACTAAAATGGTAGTTGTTTGTTTATTACGATATATTTTTTCTAATAAAACAAATATGAATAGAAATAAAACACAAGCACAGAGGGAAAGGTTAAGAAATCTACAAAAAATCATATAACAGAGAAGAGTGTAGGAACTATAAATCAATATGTATATAAAAAATTAAAATCAAAATTAAAATTAAAAATAAAATTAAAACAACTATTGACTATATGGAAAAAGAACTCACTCATGGTCTGATTCCAATGCAAGAAAACCACCTGTTCTGTCAACTGATCTCGGATATCTGAAAAAAATAATTCCCGAATAGCTGCATCTATCGGAAATATAAGTGCTTCATAGCCGATGAAAAAAGCAGTGTTTTTTTTTCTTTCCACGCCACCCTGATTGGCTCGTAGCGAATGTCATAAAAGGCAAGTGTGCAAAGTAATTTTGGAAAATATCACAAAAGAAATAAAGCAAATTTTTAATCTGCAGTCTAGTGAAAATATAAAAATCATATTGAAAAAGTTATATTCCGTTTAGAAATGTGTTGAAAACAAAGAATACAACCACAAGTGAACCCTTTATTATTAGCAAATAAGGGAATAATACATGAAATTCGGTTAATACAAATGGAAATGAATCGTTGATGATGACACTACATGAATAAAGTAATAAAATCAACCAACGTTGTGAACTTCTATCATTACTTATCTCAAGCAAAACAGTGGAAAAAAGACAAAAACACAGAACAATTTAGATTTAATCTAAAGTACAGTTGCTGACGCAGAGGGCGGACGCATTGCTTGTGCTGGCGTTTGCAACACGCCCGCCCACAAAGCACCTAGCCGCTGAGGTTATAGAACGGAAACCACCAACACAACATTGCAACCACAAACACTTTAGTATAGCAGCAGCTAATATACTCAACATTAAAATTCCAACAGCGCACAGCATTGTACATAGTCTGTTTACGGCAACGTTGACAATATCGCCCCAATCATCGTTGATTTTGAACAACGAAAGAAGATTGTAGCAGTAAGTGGACGATAGGCAATTAACATCAAATATGGCCAGCTTATCGGACCGGAAGCGAAATACGTTTTTAAGTTACGTTGCACCCTCGCCTGGAGATGTAAGTTTGTTGAGTATATTATATAGGTTTAAAATTAAACTAAATGACATCATCTCTACTTAAATTATTCATATTTAACAGATACCCCGACAGGAAGGCAGTGATGACTGGCTGCCAACAGAGTTGCGCGACCTTCATTTGGCTAAACCGCGTCTATTACCAAGTGAATTAGTGGTGGCGTCGGCACCAGCATATCTGATCTCTGCCATAATGCCTGCACCCACTGAAGGCAGTGAACTAGATATGTCACGCCAGGCAGTATTTGGTTTGTTGAGTGTGACCAATTTTAAAATGGCTTTTGTACCGCTACAACGCCAGCAACAAGAATCGCCACCCCAAGAGTCGTATCAGGAGCATCTCTACTTGCAACGTAATGACGTTACACTCAATAATATCGATTATGTTTATCAACTTGCAGAAGGTAGCCGAGTAAGCGTAAGCGCTCTCAGCGGTGGAAATAAACGCAAAAAACTCGACGCACAACAAAAAGTCATGAGCGGGCGTATTACAGCGCTACATATTATATGCAAAAACTTCCGATTACTTAAGTTCGCCTTTCAAAATTCGAGATCTGGTCCCGATTATGGAAAACTAATTGCTTCTGCTTTGGCACGTTTCGCTTATCCATCACGTCATGATCTCAGTTTTGCCTACTGCTATCGCGAGCCATATTATTCCATGTTGGGAAAGTCCAGCGTTACTATGTATAACTCAAAAAACGACTGGGCACGTGAGCTAATACGGTGTGGCGCAACCGAATGGCAAGTTGTGAGCGCTGAAAACGTGCCACAATTACAAAATGTATTACAGGCACCCAAGTACACTCTGCCACCTCATTTTGTTATACCCAAATGCTGCACTGTTGATCGTTTCCTAGACCTTTCACGTGCATTTTATGATTCACGTGCGGCTTTTTGGGTCTTTGGCTATGGTAGCGCGTCACTAGTCCGTTTGGCTGAATTGAAACCTGCAATGCAGCAAGACACGAAAGTGGAGAACGTAACGCTGGAGCTGGTGAGAAAATGTGATGAAAAGCGTACGTTAAAGCTTTTACAACTGACAGATCGTCTGCCTAGTATACAAGATGTACAACGCGCATATCTAAAGTTTCGACGTCTATGCACACCCGAGAGTCCACAAGAATTTCTCGTTCAGGACTCTAAATTTCTAACAAATGTAGAGAAATCAAATTGGCTCTTCTATGTATCGCTGTGCTTGCGTTATTCGTGTGAAGCGGCAGAATCATTGCGTGCTGGTACGACATGCGTTTTGCAAGAGACTAATGGTCGAGATTTGTGTTGTATAGTCTCAAGCTTAACGCAAATAATACTAGATCCTCTCTATCGAACAATTGACGGCTTCCAGTCGTTAGTGCAAAAGGAATGGGTGGCTTTGGAGCATCCGTTTCAAACACGTTTGGGTCATGTGCGCGGTGAAGCAGCCGAAGAAGATGAGAGTCCTGTATTTCTACTCTTCCTCGACTGTGTATGGCAATTGCTGCAGCAATATCCGGATGAATTTGAATACAGCCAGACCTATCTGACGACTTTGTGGGATGCCTGTTTTCTGCCCATCTTCGACACATTTCAGTTCGACACTGAGGCCGAACGTGCACGGGCAGTCAATTTTGGCAATCTGGTATTGCGACCTGTATGGGATTGGGGTGAACAGTTTGCCGAAAAGGACAAGGTCTTCTTTACGAATCCCTTCTATCAACGACAACGTCAAGAGCAACCGAATCGACGTTCCATAGCGATACCTGCAGGTGCTATAATGCTGCCAGGACTCGCACAAATGCCGTCAATGAAACATGGACAACAACAACGCTTTACCACAATCAATCCACAAACGTTTGTGACCGCATCAACCATACCAAAGGATCGTTACTTGGAGCCACACCATGGTATGGCAACATTAGCCATATGGGAGCAATGTTATTATCGTTGGATGCCGATATTAGAAATCAAACATGGTGGTTTTCCACAAATCGATCTAAATCATCGTTTACTGCTAAGCAACATTGCTAAATTACAACGTTGCATAGAGTTGCAGGACTTCGATGATCTACCAGACATTTATTACGACAAAACCGGTGAGCAACGACCGGTTGTCGATAGCACCACAACCAGGCGACGCAATAGCATTGAAATGATCGATGGTGTCGAACGTCGGCGAAAGTCTTCTTTACCAGCCACACTAAATGGCCTGAGTAGCAGTGGTTTGTTGCCAGAGATATCATCATTTTTCCCCTTTAGCATAAACACTGGCGAATCAGAGCAGCTTATTGACATACTAACAAACAGTAATGAATTCTTATTAGAAGGTTCATTTATGGAACGTCTATCCATCGCATAGCATACAGAGTTCAAAGACACGGTTATGTTTCAGCAGCTAAATTGAATTAAGTTGAAAAGCTAAAATCGAATTTCGTGATGAAAGTGATTGCTTAACCAGTTTCTTGTTATTTATATACCAATGAAAATCGAAAATCGAACAGTTTGAAATTTACTCAAATCATACACTACCAAACCACTCCAATCCGTGGAAAAATGATTATCAACAAAAAGAAAAAATAAAAAATCTAAATTCTTTATACATACCTTATATGAGAACGTTATAGTATTATTAAACATTTTTTCGCTACTTTCTTTTTCTCTTGAGAACACTGAGCTTTTGTTTATACAAATTTTATACAAATCAATATTGACTTTAAATATTTAATATTATTTTACTAAAAAAAAGAAAATTCAATGACGGCAGTTTTTTCTATCATAACCATTCTTACTCGGTATTTATGTATGAACTATTTGTATTATATACGCGTGTTTAAATATTTATTAAGTGCAATTAGTATTTGCTCCGATAATCTACACTTAATGAAGTGGTGTATATTGTATGCTAACAGGCTAAAAGTTGCGATCAATAAGAATACAACGATTTTATCCAAACCACAGGATAAGAATAAAAATCCAAATATCACCACACTATTGTCGTTGCATTATGATAGTGATAAAAAATAATAATAAAAAATACAGCGCTGCATACGTACATATTTATATGCAAAAAAAAAAAAAACAAAATACTAAAATATTTATTATATTTTAATACATTATTATATATGCATAATTCATATTTTCGAAATATAAGTAAATAAATAAAAAGTTAAAATGCATTCAATGTATTGTTGAACTATCAAAGCGATAATAAAGTGAAGTTGTATGAGTATGGCATTTATTTATTTGAATTGTAATGCAGAAAAAAAAAAATAATAATTATGTTAAAAAATGCAACTCTTCTGACGAGCATTTTCAATTACTTACAACATCCTATAACGGCTTGATAAGCGTAACGGCTTTTCCTTATTTCCGGTCGTACCGACAACGTGCTTTCTCTAAGAAATTTACTTACGAATTTCAAATAGCAAAAAAAAAAAAACTAAATGGCACCACGTCGTAAAACACCTGTGGAGAAAGTGCATCATCGCGCAGCCTACTCCATCGCTATTATTATTGCTAATATGATATTTGGTGAACATCGACAATATTGTATGCGCTTGCTGCAGATACATGATCCCGTACAAGCGTATGTAAGACTATTGGAATTATTTGCCATTGCTGAAAATAACCATCAACCGAGGACATGAAGTAACACAATCAACACACAGACGAATGATGCAATAAGCCGTCTTATTTTATTAAAATTTTTTAAGTTATAGTGAAATCGCTTTAATTTGCAAACTTACTAATGTAACATAAAATTCCAACAAGTTTTCTTAATAAAAAAAATATATTAAAGTTCACACACAACCTTAATCAGCTTTGGTGTTGTCTTTATTATCGGCTTCTTTCAGTAAAATCGATTCTATGCCAACTTTCTTTAATTCTTCTATCAAATCACCGCTTTGGTGCATTTGCAGCAATATATCACAGCCGCCCACAAATTCGCCATTGATATATACTTGTGGTATAGTGGGCCAATCTGAAAACTCCTTGATGCCTGTAAAAGAAAATTTTGTATGATATGAAAACAGTTTGGCAGCTACTGTATCTAAATAAAAAACAAACACATACTTTGACGTAGCTCATCACTTTGTAGCACATCATGTGCATCGTATTGTACACCATGCATACGGAGTATTTGCACCACCGCATTGCTGAAACCACATTTTGGTGCTTCCGGGTTACCTTTCATGAAGATAACAACTTTATTCGTATTAACAAGCTGCTTTAGTGTATCTTTGTTGAAATTTGTCGCGCCGCTAGCTGTTGTCGCGCTTTCGAAGCGTTTAAACATTGGCATACGCTGGGCTACTATGCCTTGACGCAATAGTTGTCGTAATATCAATTTTCCCGACATTTTATGATTTTTATAATTTTTATCTGCTTTTAAATTTTGTTAAATAACAAACAAATTTCGTTTGCTTCCAATAAGTTCAGCGAAATGACAATCAGCTGTTACGTTATCACATTTGTTTTGATTGAGGTTATCTTGTGCTTGCCACATTTTAGAATAAAATAAAAAATCGTCTTTAACCCGAAAAATAAGCGAGATATTGAGAGAATTTAATGCTGCAATTTGAATTGTAAATTTTCCCCACTTGAAAGATCCACATCTAATACACCTATTTGGGCAAAATCCCTATCATTTTTGGGAGCCATTTATAGATAAAAATTAAAATTTTGTCAGAAATAATCGACCTTAGTGGAAATTTGATGCGAAAGAATTTGTGTGGAAGTTTTAATAGAGAATAAAAACAGAATATCGAAAATTGTTTTTGTTTTACGTTAAAAATGTTCAAACGAATTTTCTCACATGAAATTCCCAATAAGGCCGAATGTCAAATTGTTTTTCAATCGCACAAGAGCGCAGCGAATTATTTTTATTTGAAATCACTGGTAGCACGTGTCGTCAATTCGAATTAATATGGCAGCACTATGGAATATTTTGTTGTGTTATGCTACAGGCGTGTTTGTAGATTTGGGCACAGGTTTTGAAAAACGGAATAGTAAATAAATAAAAGTTGTGAAATACAGCGAGTGGTGGAAATTTTGTAAAATAAACTCATGGATTCTACATCATCAACATCTGCATCGTCGACAGCTGGTGCTTCGTCAATTAAAGCAGATCAAGAACCGGTGACCGCGCCAGTATGTATGATTGTGCTCGGCATGGCTGGTTCAGGCAAGACCACATTTGTACAGAAACTTACACAGCTCTCCTTCAACCATTTCAAGCCATATGTGATAAATCTTGATCCGGCATGCCGGGAAACACCCTATCATGCAAATATTGACATAAGAGATACTGTTAATTACAAAGAGGTAATGAAACAGTACAAACTTGGCCCAAATGGTGGTATTGTCACTTCATTGAATTTATTTGCTACCAAATTTGAAAAAGTAGTTGAGTTGATAAGGCGTGCTGGGCAACAAGGTCATAAGTGGTGTATAATCGATACACCCGGACAAATTGAGGTTTTCACATGGTCTGCGTCCGGCACCATTATCACAGAAGCGCTAGCAACAATGTTTCCAACAGTTGTTGTTTATGTTATGGATGTTGTGCGTTCCATAAGTCCGACTACATTCATGTCCAATATGCTGTATGCCTGTTCTATACTGTACAAAGCTCGTTTGCCATTTATTGTGGTGCTCAATAAGGTGAGAAAGAGTAATATGAATAATTAATTTTTAAAAAATAAACAAAATCATTTCAATCTTCCAGATTGATGTGCAAGATCATGATTTTGCGGTTGAGTGGATGAGCGATTTTGAGGCATTTCAAGAAGCATTAGAGAAAGAACAGAACTATATAAGCAACTTGACCAGAACGATGTCACTAACACTCGATGAATTTTATCGGAATCTGCGTACGTGCGGTGTGTCATCAAAGACGGGTATTGGTTTTGATCGACTATATGATTTAGTGGCTGAATGTGCTAGGGAATATGAAAGGTATTTAATATTTAGTTATTAGTTTTGCTAACACACCTACATGTATGTGTATACTTAAACTTTACAGCGATTATAAAGCGGAATATAATAAACTGCGTGAGGCAAAACTGAGCGAAGAAGCAAAAAAGAAGGAGAATGAATTAGCTGCAATTGCCAAGAGTAAAGGCCAAGGCGCAGAAGTACCGATGAGTGGATTCGTTGAGGAGGTAATTTAATATATAAAAAATTTATTCACTTTTAGGAGCGGCCGTTTATGTATGTATGTTTGTTTTTCTAGGTGCCTGTTGGTCGCGATTTATCAGATATTTACCTAAAACATCCCGGCAATGAGAGTTCTGAGGATGAAGAAGGTCAAGAAGAAGAAGCGCCTACCTTTAATGAAGATCACGTAGAAGAGCAAAATTTTAATCAATTTGTAAAACAACATACAGATGCACAAAAAGAAAAAAATAAACAAAAATAAATAATAAAAGTATAAAATATAAATATATATTAATTTGAAAGCTTTGCGCTGGTGATTTTAGGTAGTTAACCAACAAAAAAAAAAAAAAAAAAAAAAAAAAAAAAATAGAAACTATAAATTTGTATCTGTATATATATGTATACTTTATTGATGATATAATTTTTAGTAGATTTTTAGGCGCAAAAGCTAACTCATCGTTTTGTTGGTTTTAGGCGTTTTACATTGTAACGGCTTAGAAGCTAAATTACAATAAATGAAATGTAGTATGCGCGCATATATTATTACATACATATTACTACTGGTATGAGTTATATGTATGTACATACAATATAAATAGTATGTTAATGTATGCACTTGGTCAGTAATAATTGTGTAGTTTGTATGTATGAATTGATGAACTTGGAGAATTTTTATGTGAGCACTAATATTTACATACATAAGGATACATAAAAATATAGTTGAAAATTAAAATAAATTCACAGAACGACAGGTAAGTAGGCAAGTAGTTGTAATATTAAATATTTAAATGCATAAATGAATAAATTTGTATAAATATATAATTTTCTTTTTGTAATTTCCCGTCGCCACCGCTCAAATCGCAATTTCAATGTATTTTCACTTTTTTGCGGTGGTATTTTTTCACTTTATGCCTACTTTTGCGCTTGAAATGGGATTTTTTTGATTGATTTACATATATTGAAAGTGAAATTATTTTGGAACTCATATTTCAAATTTATACACAATTTTTCGGACAGTTAAAGAAAAATACCAATTTTAATTAAATCAAAAATAATTTATTTACTTTTAACATACGATTTATGTGAAAACTTTTTAACTAATAGTTGTTTTACTTGATCGGTTGAATGTAAGCATGTTTATATGTATGTATGTATGTATATATGTGGGTATACAATTTAGATTTTAATTTTTTGTTTTAGCTGAATTGTTACATACATTTGCCTGTATTACATACTAAATTATTATTTTTTATATACTTATGCATATTTATATATATAAATACAATTTTACATATACATAGTGTTTGTAAAAAGCAGCTAACGAAAGTTATACATTTGATTGCTATTAATTTCTGTACTACAATTGGGTGATTGTTGTTGTTCTTTTTTTGGGTCTGTATGTATGTGGTGATTTTCTTTTGCTAACAATTAGGTAACCATTTGCATTATATAGTATATATATATAGTTTATTTTTTCCGTTATAACTTTTTTCGAATTGTTTTTTTTTTTTGCATGTAAGCGTTACAAATTTATTTTAATAGATTTTATTTCACGTTTTATATATTAAATATATATATATATTTTTTTATAACAAGCAGAAACATTCAATATATATGCGTGTATGTGTATGTAGGTATGTTTGTTTAAATAGTAGATATTCCAGTAGCAGGTGTAGACATATTTTTTCACTTAACTATAATAATTTCTATAAATTATTTGTATGTGTGTATGTATATGTATTTGCAAAGCAATAGTATAATTTAAAAATTATAAATATATGAATTTGTGTAAAAAAATGCATAAATATTGTCGCGCTGATACAATTTCTTTTTCCACAAAATATCAAAATTTAGTGAAAAAAAAAAATTTTGTAATATTTTTATTTTAAATATTTCATATGCTTAATATTATTATATTTTTAAGTAGTTGTGTGTTTGGAACATAAAAAATGAAACGGCAGAAGTTTATATAGAAAATACAGGGGCGCGTGGTATGCGCATTTACTTAAAACTAACTTAACTATACGCACATACATACATCTACACATGTACATATGTATATGTGTTTATTATTATACATATATTTGTGTTTATTTGTGCACATACATATATTCTCTATATTCTTATTTTTTAAATAAATTATACAATAATACATTCATGTATGCACTTTTGCATATGCATGTGCCGGTGTGTGAGTGTGTATGTGTGTTTGTTTGTATTTGTTTGTATGTCTACACTTTTTACGCATGTCTACTCGCTATCACATCATCTTACAAAAATAGTTTTCTGTTTTTATGTAAATTCTTCTCTTCATACACTACATATTCAACTACTACTACTACTTTGTTATCAGCTCTATCAGCGTGTGTGTGTGTGTGTTTTTCAAAGATGTTTTAATTTAAAATCTGTTTTAATAATTTTTTCAATCGTTACAGTGACAGTATAACTGTTAGTTGTGTTGGGTGAGTACTATTTTGTTAAATATACATACATATAAAGCGGTTGTGTGTTGCTTGGACGTTTGAGGAGCTTGCTATTAAATATATTTACTATTTTATTTTACCGTTAAATTTTTGGATTTTAAATTTTAAAGTAATTTTGCTTTTAAAGTGGTGGATGTTTTGTTTTTGCTTTATTTTCACTGATTTTTTTTCGCTTTCTCACACTCTTTTTCTCAGATTTTTTTCTTTACTTTTTCATTGAATTTTTTTTCTACATATGTATGAACGTATGCATGTGTGTAAGTATGTATAATATGTACTTTTGAATGTGTATTTTGTGGTTATAGCACAAGCATGCTGAGTGCTGACTTATGTGTTTGCTCCTCTGTTAGTATACTTTTAGGCGCTTTAGCTTATATACGCAGTAGAAGATTGTACTACTGCGCTTATTTAACGACTTACGTTAGCGGACGATTACAAGTTTACACATTATTGTAATTATTATAATGAGTTGTTATTTGTTTATATATATTTTTATATATTTTTTTCTTAAAATTTTTTTAAAATTTATTTTTTATATTTTTTGTGTGTGTATGTTGACATTTTAATAGCAGTAATGCATGGAAAATAAAAAAATAATAATTATTTGCACGACATGAGAATTTGAAAACATTTGAAAATACTTCAATTGGATTTTTTTGCTTTTATTTGTTATTTTTTACATATTATTTTTAAAAAATAGTTAAGTAAAAAAAAATCATAATTTAAAAAATATATGCATTTTTTTGTTTATACTTAATTCTTTGCATTAAACATATAAATTTCTTATATAATTCAAGGTGTGTAAGTGTGTGTGTATTTTGAAAATTTATTACTATATATTTTTTAAATTAATAATAATACTAATACGGTTTTTTAATTGAAACATTTCAAATCTTCTCAAATAATGCTGATTGTGTTCCGTGTGAGCTTTTTTTTCTTTGCTTTGAGTAAAAGCAGACAAACAAACAAATAGATAACTACTACTGCTCAACCAACCACTCGCTAAGTCAACCAAAACCAACAGTTTCCTTCTAACTTTTGCACAGCTGATTCTGTTAGGTTTGTATGCACGTGTATTTTAAACTCTAATCAAAATTTGTGTGTTCTTTAACTGATCTGTTGGTGCTTGCTTAGGTGGCTCTGCTGATTTTTATGCGTTTTTTGCATATATTATTTTATTTTATATTTTTTTTGTTTAGTTTTACTTTTATTTAACCTTATCGCATTTCACTTCAATAATAAATTTGATTGTATTTAATATTTTTTTTATTTCGTTTTATTTAATTTTTTTAAATATAATTTAATTTAATTTAAATTTCTTGTATTTTTTCATTTTATTTTATTATATTTTACGATATTTTACTTATTTGTTTTATTTAAATGGGTATAATTTTTATTTTAATTTGTTTTTTTTTTTTATTTAATTTAATTTAATTTTGTTTTATTTTGTTTCTTTAATTTAATTCTTATTTTTATTTTTTTTTAATTTTATTTTAATATATATAATAATAATAAATAATTTAATTTAATTTTATTTCATTCTCATTTAATTTTTATTTTATATTTAATTTTGTTTATTTTATTTTATTACTAATTCAGTTTTTTTGTTTTTTCTTTATTTCATTTTGAGTTTTATTTTATTTTGTTTCTTTAATTTAATTCTTATATTTTTTTATTTTTTTTTATATTAATATATATATATTATACTAATATATATAATATGATTTCATTTTATTTCATTCTTATTTAATTTTTATTTTATTTATTTTATTTTAATTTTTATTTTATTTTTTAATTTCATTTTTTTTTTTTTTTATTTCTGTTTCAGTTTTGTTTTTTTTTTTTTTTTTTTTTTTTAATATATATATTATATTAATATATATAATTTAATTTAATTTTATTTCATTCTTATTTAATTTTTATTTTATTTATTTTATTTTACTTTTTATTTTATTTTGTTTGTTTAATTTTTATTTTATTTTTTAATTTCATTTTGTTTTTATTTTATTTCTATTTCAGCTTTTTTATTTTTTCTTTATTTCATTTTGAGTTTTATTTTATTTTGTTTTAATTTGCTTTGTTTTATTTTCATTTAATTTAATCATTTTTCATTTTATTTTTTTTAATTGCATATTTAATTTAATTTTTATTTTTTGTTGTTTTATTTTATTTTGTTTCACTTTATTTTATTTTGTTTCACTTTATTTTATTTTTTTGTTATTATTATTTTATTCCATTTCTTTATTTTATTTTATATATTTTTTGTTACTTTATTCTATTTTATTTTAGTTTATTTTTATTAATTTATTTTATTTTATTTTATTTCATTTTGTGTATTTTAGTTTATTTTATTTTGTTTTATTTCTTTTGTTGTTATTATTATTTTCTTGTATTGTTTTAATTTATTTTACTTTATTACATTTTATTTCGTTTTTCTCTTTCTCGTTCCGTTTAATCCTCATCGGAGAGATTTGCCGTGGTCAAAAGTGTTGTATTGTCATCTGCGCCGGCCTCCTCCACATCCTGTAAGTAAAATTTGTTGTAAGAAAATTTTTAAAATTTGCCTAATTTCACTTACATTCCGCTTTCGCTTGCGTACGGAGGAGACGATCGCTCGCTTATTGCGCGCAATCAGGCAGATAGCGATGATGAGTATCATGCCAGTTAAGGCGAAACCCAATAGAGCTGGTAAAAGGACGCTATCCTCCTTGTAGCCCTTTGAGGGGAAGCGATCAAGTTGGAAAAAAGTATAAAAAATCAGATTTTAATAAAAACCGTTATAAAACGCTGACAGTAATCGATATTTAGCGCTTTCAGCGATTTTTCGCCAAGCTCCTGCTGCCACTTGTGTTTGGCGTCTCCAGTCTAGCGGTTGTTTCCCAAATTGTTTTTTGAGATTTCTATGGGAGTGACAGTCCTTGATTGGAAATGAAATTGGGTATTCCGATTGTCGTGTGTCCTATTGGATTTTAGTTGAACCTCTAGTCGACTAAGAGAGTATGCAGAATCACTCTTACTAACAAGTTCTTCCTCGGGCTTTGTACTGAGTTCGCAGTTGAGAAGTAAATTAAGGAGACTCAAGAATTTTCGGAGATTTACGAAAGATTTATAAGCCTCTTGAAGTACTTGACTTGAAATACTTCATACAGCACCTTAGAACAGAACCGTTGGACCCAGCGGAGTACCGACAGTCCGCCCTCATCATCTTCCCAAACTCTCTCTCCTTGAATGACGTCCTCGGTAGTCGATTAAATTCTCACCAGTCCAGAGTTGAACCCGACATTCCCAATATATGCACATTAGTCCTGCTTACAATGAGTTCCCGCACGACCCACCCTATGTCGCTTAAAGCTAACTTGTCTACCCCGAGCCCGTCAAAATAACCAGCTTCCTAGACGTTCAGTTTTAGAAAATCCGAAGCGGTATTCGCTGGTGAAAGCAGAGAGAGAGAGAGGTAGGCCTACACTCCCCTGAGAAGTTAGCGTGGAGAGGAACCTGTCTCCTCTAGGCTAAAAAAGAAATGACTAGCACGGTAGTTTTGATTCGACGGCCATCTCCCAGGTGGTGCATATACCGACTAAGATGGTATTTTCAGTTCAGAAACAGACACGCATGTAGAACAGAGTGATTAGTTGTTGGTCAGATCTGGGCTCCTCCGGTTCAAAGCACTAATATTCTTCACAGTTTTAGTTTTCGGCGCTGTATGTACTGGAGGAAGCACAGAGAGAGAGGTAGAGAAATACCTCTACTCCGTTGGAAAGGTCACGTAGAGGACACGGCATTCGAACATTTTTTTTTGATATTGTTCAGCTAAGGCTCAAACTCAATCCGACTCTCATTACCCATCTATTGCAACACTCTCTATAGCTAAGCGAGGGTTGCGAGCTCGAACACTAGCTGACGTCAACACTCCACAAATTGGGAAGAGGAGCTCGGGCGAAAATCGCTTCGGACGCTAACTTTTTAACACATAAATAAATCCTTACAGTCCATTGGAAATATGTCGACGGATCGATGTAGGGCCAATGCGATTGAATCCAGTCAGCGTTCTTTGCCTCCTCAACATCAGCCATATTCACCTTGGTTGGTGTGTCAAGTGTGTCGTCATGCGCAGACGACTCTGCGCCAGTATTAGCAAATACACCATCTCCAACACCATCAATGGCCACATTATTGTTGGCCTGCTTTGCCGATGCAGCCTCCGAGTTGGTGCGCACCAGAACTGGTGGCATAATCGGCTTCTTTACGGCCGATTTGAGTAACGGTAATTGCATAATGCGTGTCGTAATGGTGGGCATGGCTGGAACGCTTAAATTTTGATTAGAAATCGCATTGACATTGGCTGCGGCAGGTGCAGCAGCCGAGTTCGAGGCGGCGGCCGGCGCATGTGGCGAGTAAATGCTAGTGGTGGAGAAGGACGTAGTTGGACGTATAACGGCTGTTGCGCTGACTTGCGCAATGCGTGCGGGTATTTGAAGTTCGCTCGAATTTGTGGCGAGCTCGGCATTGCCATTGCTGATCATTTGATTATCATTTTGTGTGTATAGCGGCGTGCGCTGTGTGGTAGTTACGACAATCGTAGGCGCACCAGCCTGTAATGAGGCGACCTTGTCGACGGACTCGAAACGTACTTCTGTGACCAAATTATTTACTTCGCTCATTGCGGGTTGCGGTGTTGCCACTTTTCCTTGGGTGAACTGTGTGCCGCTGTTTAGTGTTGGCGTCAGAGTTGCGGGCTCGTCGGTTACCGGACGTAGTGGCGCTTCCTCAGCCGGCGGCTGCTGCTCCTGCTCCGATGTATAACCCACTGGTCGTGCTTTGGTCTCATTCAACTTCTGCTGTGTCTGTGTCCTATTGACGCGCAATATAATTTTCTCTACGCCATCGCTATTAATGATTTCCACCTTCTGTCCGACACTAGCTACTGCAACGGCACTGCTGTGCAACGTCTGATGTTGTGCGCCAGCGCCATTTTCCAGCACTCTCCGCGGCCCACCGCCATTTCGATGCGGCCCGTTAATGCTGCCGCCATGTGTTAACGCGGCCTTTGTCTTTAAGAACCATTCCGTGGGATTGGGTAAACACTCGGCGGAGACTAGGAATGGTATGAGCACTGCGCCCACAATAACGGTGCAAATGAAAATCAGACCTAAGTAGGCAAAAAATGAACGCCTTCGCTGACGACGCGCCTTGCCTTTGCGACCCGGAGTCGAGGCGCAATTACTGCCGGCGCTTGATAGCTTGCCCTCAATACGGAAATCATCGTTCTGTGGCAGTATCGTATATTGCAGGCTGTTTTCGCCGTGTCGCACCGTTTTATACATCTTGGCGTGGCGTTGTTGGACTGGTGGTGTGGTTGTTATTATGGTAACAAAGGACTAGCTAACGTACACTCTGTGGCGTGTTGTGGCGGTCTAAATAGTTTGCAAGTGTCTTTGCATTGCGAGGGTGCGCGACGATTAAGCAACTTTAAATTCACTACACAAGCGTACACACACACACACACTTAACCACAAAGAAACGCACACAAACAGCACGCAAGCGGCGACGGCGGCTGAAGCACTTCACTAGGCAAGCAAACGCGCTTTGTTTTATTGATTAAACAATATCCTTGCGGCACGTCAGGAAAGGCGCACAATGCACGGCTCGATTTCGAGCGATAAGTGTAATTAATTGCTGGGCTCGTGGTGGGAGCCTACTTTGTTGGCGCACTCACTCACGCCCGCTGTCGTTGCCGTTGTGTGGGGTAGGTTGGAACACAGCTTTGGATTGAAGAACTTTTTCCACTTCGCTTTTTGCAGCCAAACTGCGGCAGCGGACGGCGGGAGCGTATTTGAATTTAATTAATTTTTATAAAGTATTGCCAATACCCAACAGTAGTGGCCAAATATTTCACAGAAAACTTGGTTTTTACTCACAAAAAAAAAAAAATACTTCAACCCAACTCGTTAAGGATTTGAAGGACGTTGTTTGAACTTTTTTTTTTGTGTTCTTTTCCACAGCTTTATATTGTCTGCGCCACACAACCGAAAAAAAACGCACTGAACACCACTGAAATTGTCGGTATTTATATATTTTCTAGCCAAAAAATTCCTGCTCTGCTCAAGTTTTTCTTTTTCATTATTCGTCCTGTAATTGCTGCACTGCCTTGTTATGTTGTAATGCACCAACAGTTTTTCGCAAATCGCCAATTTATGTCAAATATGCTAATTTTGTGTGTACTCGTCAATGAGCCGTTCACTGTCAGCCACTTGAGTTGAGTATTTGACAAATGACTTGAGTTTGATTTTCTTACTCAGCCAGCGAAAAATCAATAAAAAGGACCTGTGGACGTATTCCTTATACACTTCACTTGAAGTGAGCGAGCGAGCGAGCGAGAGAGAGAGAGCGAGAGCGAGAGCGAAAGAGAAGTTAGGAACGCGAGCGGAAGGATACGGCTGAGCTGTCAACGGGCTTTTGTGTTTTAACCGGCCATTTTGACAGTTTGGCAAAGTTCCAAGTTGGCAATGCTGAATTTATATGCTACAAATATAACGGTATACCAGTGAAGAACATATGAAGTCGATAAATGTAAGTAAAGACGAGGCAGCTGACGTTTTAAAAGGTGAAGAAAGGAGGTAGGGAAACGAAAAAACCGCCTGGTAGGAATCTTTTTACAAAAATTGCTTGGATTTAGTAAAAAAAAAAATATTTTTAATATTAATATTTTTAGTAATTTTTTTTTTCATTTTTAAATTAAATAAATTTTATTTAAAGTAATTTACACTAATTTAAGTGTTTACATGAGTTCCGTAGCTTCAAAAAATTGGTTTTATTTTATTATCTTTGAATATTATTCTGAATTTCTTGTCTTAGTTTTCTAGTCCATCGGAATGAAATATTCGAGTATACAGCTTTGTGGAGGCTCAAGTGCAGGCTCAAAGTCAGGCAGCTTAAAAAATAAACACTTTCTGCTAGAAACTGTATTTTCATAGTCGGTTATCAAAAGTTTTCGAAAACTACTCAACCGATTTTGATCAAATTTAACAAAACTTTTCGAGATATATTATATATTATATTTTTCAATCACAATTAATAAAAACAAAAAATGTTGAACAAATTCGACCAAAATTTGCAATTTCTTGTAAAATATCTGCCAAAAAGGCAATTTTTCCCTAGAACTAATACTAGTTTACGGTATTAACTAAAACAAGATTTTCTGTTCGATTCAGATGATCATGATCATGAGTTCCACTGTCCACTCAGACGCACATTTTTTTCTGAGAGACTACCGGAAATAACATCACAATAGCGGTGTTATGTATATTTTTCGGTTGAAAATTTGAGAAATTCCTTTTCAAAATGTATTATTTTAAAACATTAAGGCCGTTTCTTCAACTGTCTCTTTCAGAATGTGGCTGACAATCAGCTGATTTACAAATTTACTTATTTTTTTTGCCATCATGTATAAATATAATGGAAAACAGACAGGTATTTTATATTCATGAGCTTGAGTAATGGTTTGAAGAAGCATCTGTGTGCCATGTTTAGAACAGCTGATTTGCGTTGTTCCTTGCTTCCTCTTCGCAGCACTGCCAACCTTTATCTAATATCAAATAAATATTTGACAGGTGGTCGAGAAAATGAAATGAATTTTCGAAAATAGACTCATTTTCTCGAGCAAACTTTCGTAAACCCTTAATTTTTTTATATTATTTTATTTTATTTCAATTAATTGTAATTATATTATTTTAATTTATTTTATTTTAATGTATATTATTTTATATATCTAACTTGATTTTATTTCAATTTATTTTATTTCATTTTATTTAAATTTTTTGCGTAATTTATTTCATATAATTTTTTCATTTCATTTCATTTTACTTACCTAAGAAGTTTCATTATATTTTATAGAAATCTGACCCATATATTTTACTTAATTAAATTTTTTCTTTTTATTTAATTTTAATTTTACTATTTTAATTTGAATATTTATATTTTTTTCTTTTTGGTTTTTTTCTTAAATTTAATTTTTTATTTACTTTTTTTATTTTCAAATCACTTTATGTTATTTTCATTTATAATATTTGGTTTATTTCAATATTATTTTGCTTTATTTTATTTATTTTCATTTAATTTTGTTTTATATTGTTTTACTCCTATCACATTTATTTATATAATTTAATTTAATTAATTTAGTTTTATTTTATTGAATTTTTATAAATTGTCTTATTTTGCTTTTGTTGTTTTAATTAAATTGATTTCATTTTTAAATGTTATTTTCTTTAAATTTTTTATTTCAGTTAAGTTTTTTTGATTTCATTTATATTTATTATGTTTCAAATTATTTCAAATTATTTTTTTTTTCCATTATTTTTATGTTATTTAAACTTAAATTATTTTTATTCATTTTCTGTATTATTTTATTTTACTTGTTTTAATACAATTTAATTTTTAATTAATTTAATTTTAATTTTTGTATATTTCTTTATTTTATTTTCGTTATTTTTTTTTCTAAATGTTTTTCTTTTCATTCAATTAAAGTATATATTTTTAATTCTTTTAATTTGTGTTAAAATAATTAAATTATTGTTCTGTTTAATTTTATTTTATTTTACTTAATTTACTTTAACCTTTTTTATTTTTTTTTATTTTTTTTTTTATTAAATAATTTAAATTTATTTTTAGTTTTTTTTTTAATTTGCTTAAGTTTATTTATTATTTCATAATATATACATATATAAAATACAAATTTTTTTAATAATTATTTCTAATTTTAACATTTGTTTTCCATTCCTTCTAAGATTTCCTGATTAAAAACAAATATGCAATATATAAGCTTCAAATCAACTCATACCACACCATATATGTATACATATACATATATGTATATACATACTACATACACATATCGGAATGAAATAATAAAAATATTCCATTCTTTGACAGGCCCCCAGTTGACCAGATAAGTACATACATCCATACCATTAAGCGCTCACCTTCTCTCCTAATCGCATAATATATATACGTATGTGTAAGTATACAAGTGTACTTATATATATTATAATGTCGCCAAGTAAAAACCTACCGGCGCGTGCAATTATTTATAGATAGAATTTATAACTTTTGTAGTTTGTGATAAACAAACAAAGAGAAAAGAGAGATAATAGGAGAAACAGCCGATTTTTAATACACCAGTATGTAAATGAGAATCATATACATATGTACGACATATGTATGTATGTGCAAATACACTAGACTGGAAGAAAATTTTAAATTCACCTAACCGAAATCAATTTTTATTTCGTTAATTAATTTATTTATCAGAATTTATGCTACTGTTGGATATTCAAAGACAATTTTCAAACAAATAAATAATTAAAAAATAAAACATTCACTCTCTGAGCAAATATAAACGTGCATAAATATTTATATGCATGTACATACATATATTCGTCTGTATATACATTTATGGCCGAATGGCTCCCCTTCGTGAGTGAGCCAACCTGTTCGCTGGCAATTGGCTCAGTTGACGTTTCCGATTAACGCCGAATTCCGCTATTCATGTGGCCGGCAATCGTAAGGCATTTCAGTTTTATTGGAGCCACCGGGCGGTTTGGTTGAGGTTTCAGTCCTTTTCGTGCGAAATCTATTTATTTGATACCATTTGTTTCTTTTTCGCTTGTTGGGTCGTGGAAATTTTATAAGAAAATGTCTTTGGTACGCTTAATTGGCGCTGAGGTGAGGATAAATTTGTGTGCTGGAAGTGGTTAGTTGTGCATACATATGCATGTATACTCTATGTATATTTGCTAGTGGTGTATAAAATATAGTGGAGCAATTTAATTATATACAATGATTTGTTTTTGTTCTTGATTGTAAACACTTGTATATTTGTTTTTATTGGCATTCGTTGTGCTTAGAAACGCGTGTGGCAGTGACATTCTGCTTTATCACCACAATAACAATGTTATGTAACTTTTTTGTGTGCTGGCACATGTATACCCTACATACATATGTATGTATGTATGCATATCACCATGTGCGCAAATCTAATCAAACATGTACATATGTTTATATAGAAAATTATGAGCTGATGTTTATTAGCTTGCTCGTGTTTTTAAATTCGATATTTAAAACTTTTTGGTTTTCTCTTTATGTACAATACAAGTTTAAACAATGTATCTGCCTATTATTATTATTATGTTATTATTAATATATACATATGTATTTAGTCGATAAGAGAGATTCATAGTACTTTTAAATAAACTTAATTAGTTATTAAATATGTTTACATATCTATCTATACATACATATGTACGTATGCATGTATGTATGTGCATGTATATATTTCACAGCTTCAAAACCCCGTATCACGGAACGAATCAAATATATTTTTAGCGTAAAAAATGTATAAAAAATTAATTTATTAAGTTATCTAATGCTAGAGATTTTTTTACTTGGTATATACATATGCTTTATAAATTATATGGATGTGTTTGTACAATATGTTTAAAAAGAAGTATATATTTATTATTTTACAATCTTAGGCATAGGTATATACATATGTATATTAAATTGTGCTCCTATTCTAAGATCTAATTTATTTCATTAAATTGTTGTGCTTATCAGCTTGAGAATATAATAAAAAGAAGTATTCAACGATAAGATATGAGAAATTAAAATTTTATAAAATGTAAATAAAAATTTTAAAATGAAAGAAAATTATTGAGTGCGGAAAAGTGCTTTTGAGTGCGTTTCAAATTGTTTAATATATAGTTTAATAATCCGTTTTTCAAACATTTTAATTTTTTTTAAATATTCTTGTACATATATCTTTAAACTATATATATTTTCTAATCTTTAGAAAATTTTCAAAAACTAAGTTTTTAGTACTATTTTCTAATTTTATAAATATAGAATATTTATATGAATTTTATAAATTTTTTACTGTTTGTTTCTCTTAAAAAAAAACAATATATTTCTTAAACTTTAAAAAAAAATTATTTTGTTTGAATAATTGAATGTTCAAAATACTTAAACTATTTTTCATATATGTATTTGGTTTTTGTAATTGAGGAAATGGAAGAAAGAACAAGCATAAATTCGCTTTATAAATTTAGTATGTACAAAAAATATAAAAAAAATTCAATTTTTTCTTATTTTAATAAATTTTTATTTTTTAAATATTTTTTTCTTATTTCATAAATACTGAAATCGAAATTGCTCAAGTTTTTTCTCTAATTTTTTTAAATATTATATAAAAGCATATTCTCTCTGCCGCTTTATTATTTTTTTTTTAATTTCTTCTAATTTTTCTTATTTTTTATTTTATAAATATAGAAAATGCAAGTTGTATAATTTTTTTTTTTGCATTCTATACATACTATAATTTCTCTACATTTTTATCATTATTTTTCACTTTAGTAGTTTAAAAATGTTTGCCTAACTTTTTTGTAATATTTTTTCTAAATTTATTAATAGAAAATAAATATATTTTCTTCGATTTCCTAAGTAAAATTTTTAAAGTAAAGAAATTTAAATTATATTTATTTTCTTTTTTTTTATAAATATAAAATATATGAAATTACCTTAATTGTTTTTTCAATATTCAAAAATGTAATAAATCTAAATTTTTTCTAAAATTTTTATTAATTTTTTTCTCTTTTATTAAAATTAAAAATATATATGTTTTTCTATTGGGCTTTTAATTTTTTTAAATAAATTTATAAATATAGGAAAATTATTAATTATTTCTAATATTTTTATGTTAAAATTGCTTGCCGGCTCGTGCTCTATATAAATGAGGAACATAATATTAGTGTTCTTTAACTCCGATATTTTTTATATTGGAGCTGGCTAACAATTTTGATTTAGAATAAAAGAAAGTTCGCCTAAACCATTAAAATACATTTATTTAATTTTTTTATTATTATTTTCTATTATTTCGTAAAAATAACATATATATATATAATTTCTGTAATTTTTATTAATTTTTTTTTCTAAATTTAAAATTCTCATATACATAAATTTTTTATGTTTAGGTTTTTTTTAATTTAAGAATTTTTTTTTTTATTTCATTAATATAAAATATACAAAATTAATATACATTTGTTTCTAATGATACAAAAATATTTTTTTTTTTCCATTTTGCTAATGTTTTTAACATATTTATTTTTTTATTTGCTTATTTTTTATTGTTTTTTTAAATTTATAATATATATCAATTATATAATTATAATCAGAGAAAATACATTTTCTCTTTACTTTTTTAAGTTATATTAATTTTTAAAATTTTTTACTTATTTTATAAAAATAAAATACACGAATTATCAGCTTTTTCTCTAATTTTACAAGAATAAAAAATTTATAATTTTTTATTAATTTATTTATACTTGTTTTTGAAATAAAAAAAATACCCATTTTCTAAAATTTTCGGTAAGTTTTTCTAAATTTATATATATGTAAATATAAGAGAAATAAAAATTTTCTCTATTTTTGTTAATAGTCTATATATTTTTTAATATAATTTTATTATTTTACCAATATAAAAAAATGAAAAAATTGCATAATTTTTTATTAATTTTTTATATATATTAATATTGCTAAAAAATATATATCTAATGGTTTTTTTTTTATTTTTTTTCTAGGTTATATATTTCTCTGTTGTTTTTGTTTTTTTTGTATACATTTTTTATATAAAAGAAATATAAAATTTTGAGTTTTTGAAAACTCTGATAATAGTTTAAGAGATAAGCTGTTTAAAAATGGATCTCATATTTAGACTATACATATATAAATATGTAAACTATATGTGCGAATGTATTACTCATTCACAAATACATAGATATCAAGTACCAGAGGACCCAATAAACACAAAAACGATGGTGACATTCCATTGAAATCGAGTCCAGCTTGAGAAAATTGTACTTTTAAACCTTTTCCTCCAAACTTTATTAATCGAATCGATTAAAAGGCATAAATTAAGAAAAGCGGGGTTGGCGAACCGCTACAACAGCAACAAAAAAAATAATTTATGCCGAATATTTAGTGAATATTTCGTGAAATCGGGTTTTAATTATAAATAAATATATATAATATAACGGTCAATAATATTTTATGACTCTCCAAGTCGTCATGGAATTCAAATAGAAAGTTCTCGTACCTGCAACGATTCAAAAAATTGGTCACGTTTAATTAGCTAACGAGTATCGACTCTAAAACGAATTCGAATTCGTCGATTTATCGCCGGGAAGTATTGACTAGATCGTTGTTTCTGGGAAAACGAGCACGTTTCGACCTCGAGTCGCACTCGTTGTGTTTACTGGGTATGATTTACTCAAGCAGCCCAAAGCCATTTATAGCAATGCTTTGTTGGGGTCTGTTTAAATCAGGCCAAGCGCAATGTCGAATCAATTAAACTTGCAATTAACGGTGTTATTCATTAGCGTATCTAATTTGCATGTGTTAACAGTTCATAGAACTCTTTATTTTAAGAATGCAATTATTGAGTTATGCGCTGGTAGAAAGCAATAAACTAAGTTTACGTAGAGAAGAAAGGGAAATTTATGTAAAATTGAGAAAAAATTCAAACAATTTGAAAAAAATAATAATTTTTTTCCATCCCTCTGTATTTTAGTGCCGCTTAATGGCTCAACGCAGCTATTCTTCCGCACCGGCGACCACCAAAATGTTCATCGACGGCAAGTTTGTGGAATCACAAACCAAGGAATGGATTGATCTGCACAACCCCGCTACCAATGAGGTCATTAGCCGCGTGCCCAAATGCACACAGGCCGAGATGCAAGCTGCTCTGGAGTCCAATAAGAAAGCTTTCAAATCGTGGAGCCAACAATCGGTGCTGTCACGTCAGCAAGTCATGTTCAAATTGCAAGCGTTGATCAAGCAGAATATGGGCGAATTAGCCAAGAACATTACCACAGAGCAAGGCAAGACCTTGGCTGATGCGGAGGGCGATGTGTTGCGCGGTTTACGTAAGTTGTTTGTAACATATTTTCTATAAAATTTTTTTACTTATTTGAACTTTCGCATTTTGAATACAGAGGTAGTTGAGCACTCCTGCAGCATACCCTCGTTGGCCATGGGTGAGACCGTAGCGAATGTGGCACGTGATATGGACACATATTCGTTGGTGTTGCCCTTGGGTGTCACCGCCGGCATTGCACCGTTCAACTTCCCCGCCATGATACCACTTTGGATGTTCCCCGTGGCAATCACCTGTGGCAATACAATGCTGCTGAAGCCCTCGGAACGTGTGCCCGGCTCGACAATGTTGTTGATGGAGCTGTTGAATGAAGCTGGCTGCCCGCCCGGTGTCGTTAATGTCATACACGGTCAACATGATGCAGTCAATTTCATATGTGATGCGCCAGAAATCAAAGCTGTCTCCTTTGTGGGCTCCGATACGGCTGGAAAATACATTTACGAACGTGCCGGCCGTAATGGCAAACGTGTGCAGAGCAATATGGGTGCCAAAAATCACGGTGTGGTCATGGTCGATGCAAACAAAGAGAACACATTGAATCAATTGGCCGGTGCGGCTTTTGGTGCTGCCGGCCAACGTTGCATGGCGCTCTCCACAGCGCTGTTCGTGGGCGAAGCACAGCAATGGATACCCGATTTGGTTGAGCGTGCCAAGAAGTTGAAGGTGAACGCGGGACATGTCGCCGGCACTGATGTTGGTCCGGTGATTAGCGCACAGTCGAAACAACGCATAAACGAACTGATTGAGTCCGGCGTTAAGGAGGGTGCTAAGCTCATACTCGACGGCCGTAATGTCAAGGTGCCTGGCTATGAAGCTGGTTACTTTGTCGGTCCCACCATACTTGCGGACGTTACACCCGATATGCAGTGCTACAAAGAGGAAATCTTTGGGCCCGTCTTGGTTATACTCAACGCTGATACGCTCGATGAGGCCATACAAACGGTTAATGCGAATCCCTACGGCAACGGCACCGCTATTTTCACCACAAACGGCGCCACGGCACGCAAATTTGTCAACGAAATCGATGTGGGTCAAGTGGGCGTGAATGTGCCCATACCCGTGCCACTGCCCATGTTCTCCTTCACCGGCACGCGTGGCTCCTTCCGTGGCGATCATCATTTCTATGGCAAAATGGGCGTCAAATTCTACACGCAAACCAAGACGGTGACACAGTTGTGGCGCGAAACCGATGTAACGCACACCCAAGCGGCAGTGGCCATGCCCACCATGAAGTAAAGCGCCGTGCGTACCTGCGTGCTGTGAAGGGTGATAGTTCGAGAGGTTCGAGAGGTTAGTCTTCCAATTGAAAGTGCTTTAGTGTCGAGGAGCGTTACAGACATATATACATATACTATTTTTGTACGCCTCATATTTATTCATGGAAATCCATACAAGGAACGTTGCATTTATTTTTCGTTTATGTTAAGGAATGTGTTGCTGGTGTAAAGCTCTTAGGAATTTGTTTATTGCATACGCTTAGCGTAATTAATGTATGTGCCTATATAATGATATTAAAATAAATTAATTCTCTTAAAAAAATCGCATTTTCTTAAACAAACAACATGAAGTTGGTGGTTCTTATTGGGAGTCACTTCCGATTGGAACTTTGCTGGCTGTCGAAAATCGATTCGTATTAACCAACTCCTTTGAAACTACCAGTCGTAAGTATATCCTCCCAGCTACTGGTGAACACCGTTAAATGTTTTAAAATATACCACACACAGCTTCATGCAGAGATATCGGGTTGCACATCAACCCAGATCAAACGGAAATGGACGCACAAACCACTTTTACACTTTCTACGTCACAATTAAACCTCGTTTTGTATAGAATAGTGCGAAGAGGTCCATGGTACCTATTAGACTGCGGTTTTGGTATTGCACAGCGTCAAATTTGGCTAGTTCATCTGCTTCACAGTCGCCTGGTATATCCCTGTGTTCTAGAACCCCGAGTAGGCTTATCTTGAAGTAGGATATTAGCTCTACTAACAATGGTTTCTTTAATTGCAATGATCCGCGCATGAAAAAGACTGCCGTGATCTGGTAGTCGATCGGAAGACGTTTCTGGTATCTAATTTTACTGAAATTCCATCAGCTCCCACGCGATTATCTAGTTGAGCTCAGGTCGTACTTATCTCTGTCTCTTTGTCTACCTCACCCCTATCCCACTCGCTCATCGCAATGTTGAATCTCGCCATCCTTTTACAGGTAAGAAGTGCTGTAGCAGCCTTCTCTACCACAGTTTCTATGTTCCATTAGAGGAGCTTCTTTTCTATTTCTCCTACTGGTGATTAATTGATTGGCACCATTTGTTGGTGAGAGGCTTGTGTTTCCTAGTGAACAATAAAAGGTTTTTTTATTGACTTTAAAATGGTTTGTGGGTTTTGCCAATTGGATGGCATCTTCCAACCGAAACTTCTTGGGAATTGATACGTTCTGGTGCATCTCTTCAGCAATACTTTACGCGTTTGAATTTCCTGCAGATAACTCGGTTCATTGGAGGTCGAGCGACAAGGCATCTTTTGGCCAAACATTCGTTTAACATTCAAAGGACGACGTTTCGGTCATTGCCCTATAGGTTTTGACGTTTCCTCTTTAGTTGCGTATCGCGGTCAGTTCGGCGGGGGTGGACTACCGACGGCTTATGAAGTTCTTGTTAAAAAATAAAATAAAATAAATCTTCTTCTTCTTTACTGACGTGAACACCGATGATAGCCGAGTTAACTACATTGCGCCATTCATTTCTTTCTTTTGCTGTTTGACGCCAATTGGTAATATCAAGTACAGCCGGATCCTTTTCCATCCGATGTGTGGAGCTTAACTTCTTCCTCTGCTTACACCGGCGGGTACTGTATCGAAAACTTTCAAAGGTGGTGTATTATTAAACATCCGGATCGCATGATCGAGCCAGCGTAGTTGCTGCCTCTGCTGAGCTGTCAATCTCGCCTTATATCTCATACTGCTCAACGTTCCATCGGTTGCGGTATTCGTCGTTTCCCAACTCGCGGAAGTCCATACATCTTACGCAAAATTTTTTGCTCGAAAACTTTTAACGCCGACTGATCGGCTGTTGTCGAACGGGAACATGGACGATTTGTGGAATTTGGTTTTCGTTCGTCCGAGAGGGGAAATAAATAAAAAAAATCGGTTAGTCAAGTTTATGAGGTGTGAAAAGAAAACTTTCTTGAAAATATTTTTATAATGTTGTTGTTATTTTTTTCCACAGCTGAGAGCGTTAACTTAATTTGAAGAATTTTAAATTATTTAGTTTAAGACATTTTCTGGGCGTTTCTTGGTGAGTTACATACATACATACACGATAATTGCCTTTTATAGATTTTCATAAACTTAAACGATTCAAACGTACATAAATACATACATACATATTTATTTATTTTCTCACGTAAAGGACTTGCACTCATCATCAACTCAACCAGCACAGCCTTGCGCGTCGCACCTCAAATGTGATTTTTTTTTTGTTTTTTTGCTTCCATCGCAACTCCATCAAATATAATTAAATATTACAATAACAACAACAAACAATTGCCAATAAAATGCACAATCTTTGCAAAAATGTGCGCATCAATGCACACAACAAAGCGGCAAGCAAGACAACGCCTTTAAAGCAAGAAGCAGAAGAAGCAGAACAGGGAAGAACAAAAAAGGATAACTGCCTTAGTTACTCCTTTGAATAAATGTCAGACAAAATCATGTCAAAATTATGATGAAGGCGCTTTGCTTAAATGCATTAGGCATTATTTGATCTTATTTTTCTTCTTTGTCTGTTTCTTTTCTGTTTTGCTGTGCTGGTTTGGCAAATCTCGTTGTTGTGCCTTCACTCATCATCATCATCATGATCATCGTCATCGAACATTCAAGCCATCGATCGATCGATCGATCGGCCAGAGGGATAATCATTGCAATGATCCAATGAATTTACGACCAATTGCAAATGTGACAGTGTCAATGAGGTAATAAAGTTGAATATCCTTTCATTGCATTGAATATCCTGCCAGCCGCCTCGAGCTAAAGACATAAATAGAAGATTAGAAGGCAGGAATGTAATAGAAAGCGGAAGGGTTTGAAAAAACTTATGACTTTTATGACTATTGCACGTACATAATTTTCGCAAGATTGCACACACATAAACACACACATAAACACACACACACACACACACATACACACCAAATATTTATGATATCATATTTTTGCGTGCCGCCCATTTTAAGTGTCAATAAAATATCAAATGTCAAAGCAAGCACTCAATTTCCCACTGTCTGTATGTACATATATATTGTACATATGTAAGCGACACTCGACTCTCACAAGAGCTGAGACAGAACATGGCTTCAAGCAAGCAGCAACAAAAGTCGACTTGGAAACTACCGAAACTCAACATTTTATAAGAGTAAAAATCGACAAAAAAAAAATTTAACCAATGAAAAAGTTCTTGAGAATAAAAACATTCTTCGCTTTTTTCTTGACGTTGGCGCCGCTTACGCGATTATAGCCGAATCAATATTAGCACGCCATTCATCTCTTCCTTTCTTTTCACGCCAATTGGAAACACTTAGTGAAACCTGGTCACTCGCCACCTCTGCCAAGGCTTCCACCAGCAGGTACTGCATCGAGTTCTTTCAAAGCTGTAGTGCTTTTATCCATATCCGGATGACATAACCTAGTCAGCACAGCCGCTGGCTGTCGAAGATTCTCGCAGCCGACTCATCACAAGGCGACATCGTTCACGCTCCTGGGTGGGTGGGTCTGAAGCAAGCAGAACTAATTTGCGTTCCATTATAAAGCTGCTGTGGTATACCTCTTCCATTCTTTACTCGCCCATCACACTTCTTGGTCAGTATTTAATTTTATTAGGACATCAAACAACTGGGCAGCGGCACCTTTCCAATTAAGGGGCCAGACTTTCCAAGTGCATGCCTCAAATCGTGATTCTTAATTAGTAGGCATTTGATGCAGTATCTGCGGCGGTAGAGAACGAAGAGCCCCAAGGCGTTGTTGAAAAGAACAGTTGGAGAAGGAGTTGACTTCACTTAGTGTCTCGATAAAGCTCGGCTCACTTAGAGACGGGTAAGTAAGGCCAACAAATAGAAAGAAGAAGAAGATGCAGTAACATTTATAACTGATTTTTCACACAAGACTGCAAATTCAATTAAAGCGCGCAGCTGCCTCTCAATTGCCGATTAAATACGTCTTAATGGCCGAGAGTTTGAATGAGAAGGACTCTGGAGTACCCAAACGCCTTGTATAAAAAGCCAAATTTATTTCATATTGAAAAAAATCATAAAATCCGAGTTCTCAACTTGGAAAATCTCTAACCAAATTTACGATTTTCTTTTACCCAACAACACATTCCCTTACAAAGTCGCTTTCCACGTGCCACTAACAAAACAAAAACTGCCATTAAACAAGAAAAATCGTAGAAAAAGTATCGCCAAACAATAGAGAAGGAAAATCAAAGAGACTCATTAAACCGCCTGACAGCAGCAAATCTTATTCAGAGCGATTTTTACGAGCGAGCGCCTACCCAAGTAAAAGACAAATGTAGAGAAAACAAAGGCAGAACATCAAACTCGTGTCCTCCCTGCGGCTGCTACAGACAGCTTCGTACGTTGGTCAGTAGACTTCGTTTCGAATGCAATGTTGCGCTTATTAAGCGGAGCGTTCTTCACACCTTTACAGCTGTCCGGTAAGACGATGAAGACATCTTCAGCAGAGTGATTGGAAGCAGCTGGGTGTTTTTTTTTTTGTCTTTTAAACTATGAAGAGCTACGAGCGAATTGATTAACGCTTAAGTATGTGCTCTAGATTGCCTGTGTCCTGTGGCGCTGTCGCTCACAGGCATTAAAATATATATGCAGACTATATATGTATATAAGTGCCAGACGCTGTGCTGGACAATAGCGGTGATAATTAACTACTAAACTTGTACGCGCCGGCGCAACGAGTTGGTCTGCTCTACATACATATTTCAGAGATAAGCAGTTTTTCTTGCGTTGCGCAGCAGTTGCTGATGTGAGAGCAGCGCGTTTCATTTGCATAGTTACATACATACAACGGTAAATATGGAAAAATTTATGCAATAAATATTTATTTTAAATGACGGACAGTGTGAAAATCGCAATTTTATACTTTGGCGTCCGAGTTGGTGTTATGGAGAGTGGAGTTATTTGTGGCATTTGGCGAGACGTCTATAACTCTTTGCTCAATTTGTAACGGTTACATGAGATATAATTTCTTTTGTTTGAGAGAAACCTACACTGGGTCTTTGGCAGTGCGAGGGAAATCGAACGCTAAGCTAGACCAGCATTTTCGTCCTTCGGCAGGGAATATTTCGCCTTCCGTGTGTATTTTTGACTTGAAATAAACGAGGCACCTCAAAAAAATCCTTTAGCCGACCGGAGATGGCTTAGATTAAACTACAAAGCCCACCATTTGTTGGAGAAAATCGCTTCACAAATCGAAGGAGGAGGAGTTCGGCTGAAAGTCGATTCTGCGACTATAAAGCGCCGATTAAATAAT